CAGGATGTAGTATATAGTGGGAAAAGTGTCCTGAATGTGTTTAAAGACAGCTTAGGAAGGTACTTCCTTAAAAATGGCACATTATGTATTTGCACCCTTTGGTGCTCGGACCCTAATTAATCTCAACATGTTTTTGGACTGTGGGAGGAAGCCGGAGAACCCAGAGAGAACCCACGCTGCACGGGGGAGAACATTCGAACTCCACGCAGAAAGATCCCGGGTGCCCCCACCGGGACGCGAACCGGCGACCTTCTTGCTGCGAGGCAACAGTGCTACCAACTGCACCACCCTGCAGCTCACTTTTATACTATGTTAAATAAATTTTCTGATAAGTTGACGTATTTTTGGTTCCAAATGCATGACAAACGTTCCTCTTTTTAGATTTAAAAAAAAATCTTCAAAAATAATAAAACAATACCTGTCACCTAAACCAAATGGCCTGAGGTCCACAAGACCCCAAATGTCCTGAATAAGGTTAAAACAGTACCTACAGTATGCTTGCATTTGTAGAAACTGTTCCTGAAGAGAAGCTGACCGAGCACTGAAATGAAAACAACACACATCAGCGGAGTATAAAAACTGTTTATTGCTGTCGTGAGCCACAACAGCCTCACATTTCATTTGTCTTCACATCTCAATAAAATCAATACTCATCACTGACACGTAAAAAGAAATATTCATCAATCAGAAACAGAACACCGTCAAACATATACATCGATACGCAGCCAGCACGCTCCTCATCTACTGATGTTCGTCATCATCCGGATGCCGTGCTGGTTGTAAGTGTTACTGGAAATCCTGAGTAAAAATTCTACAAGAGTCCACACTGCTTACATTGCAAGGCATCAATTCAAGTTTAAAATAAACCTATTTACCGAGCAGAGGAGCCACTGGCATGTTTTAAACACCATTAGATAACAGATAACCCCTGTAGGGAGCGGTTCTCATAAACATGAAGCGGCAAGATTTCTTGGCTCACAGTAAAGAAAACAATCGACGCACAGTTGGCTGGAAAAAAAAGAAAGATTTCCTCAATAACCACAATTTGTTGTCATGTTAATAAATGTTCAGAGAGAGTTTAAAGGTGTTGGGATGGAGAAAGCCACACAACCTGTTTTAAGTCTGTTAGTCACACTCAGTAAAAGCACAATGACCTGCACACAAGACATTTTAAAAGTATTATGAGAGAGTGAAGTTTAAACTGAAGCAATATGTGATTTTGTTAAGCTTGTATTTCATTCACGCTGAGCTCATTTGTTCCCAGCGTTAAGGGCAAATTAAAAATAGCTGCCTTTACTGATGAATAAGAGACAACCAGGTTTAGGGAGGTTGAGGTTTGCAGGAAGACTGAAATGGGTTCAAATGTGAGACAAGGCTTCCTTATGCACAATAGTGTGAAGAAACATCTAAACAGTCAGAAAGTATACTCAGAGTAATGTGACTGTTAAACATCTGAAAAAGAACAGAAAACAAGAAAAAAAAACCCCAAAGGAAGTCACATTTAGTCACCAACACAATGGATTAATGGCTGGAAACACGCAGACTACACTGCAAATCATCTGGGACTTGCCAAGCTTTAAAATCTTATTTTTTTTGTTAGACACGACAGATAATTTTGGCTTGTTTTAAAAGTTATTTACTCATTTTTAGTCCTTGATGTTACAGTACAATCTTAAATTGAGCATTAAATATCAAGTAGAATTTACTTGCTGCATGAACAGATAATTTCACTTGTTTCAAGTCATTTTCTTCTCAAAGTTGGTGTTTATATCTTATATTTGGGCTACACTTTCTTGCAGTGTAAATGTATTTATCAAACTGAAATGGAGTCAAACATAACAAGAATAAAACTGGACTCATGTCCCTGCTTCTGACACGAGCACAGCATGCCGGCTATTACACAAACAACCCAGAAATCTTTTGTTCTTTCTTCACTGTGAGCTTATTACCTTCACAAACCAAGACTACTGATCTAGTCGTTGCACTCATGGATCAGAGTGTGGAAGAAAAAGGCCGTGGAAGGCACCGCCAGCAAGAAGACAGAAACCGCAACTTCACGTTAAAAACTACAATAAAAAAAAATAAATTGCACATTGCATTATCTCGGCCATGAAAGACCCGTGCAGCGCGCCACCGTCCTTCGTGTGGAGGCTGTCAGCGAGACGCGCCTCTATCAGAACCCCCAACAGGCTGCAGTCTGGACCAGATGGTGCGGCACTTCGGCAAAAAAAAAATGGCTGCACTGGAATATTTACCTCAAAGCCACATGTCCACTTACAGGTAAAAGGTTGATTTGTTCTGTCGGTTTTGCGGATACTTTTCACCTCCTTTGTTTCTATTCCAGTTCTTCAGCCCTTCGGGAAGCGAGGTGTCCTCTTCAAAGTCACCCAAGCCTTCGACTAACTCCTCATACGAGGACTTCTCTTGAAAGGGACGAGGTCCCAGCAGCTCCAGCATGTCGGCTCTGTCCAGCATCTCTTTTTCTAGAAGACGTTTTGCGACCTACGACACATGAGCAAAAATATTAAACAACAAGCATTTTAATCAGGACATTAGAGCAGCGATGCATCTCTGATTGTTTCATATTCAAACATCAAACAGTTGTGGAGCAGTAGTGTTAACAATTACAGTGACTACGATTATAATATCACAACCAGCAGCTTAACTTGATTTAGTTGAGGTTAACCATCTTATTCACAATTCTTTCTAAAAATATTCATATCAAAGTAGTGTCATAAACTTCAGTGAGCTGATTTGCTGTCCCCATCTCTGAGACAACTCTCTGCAAAGACAAAACAGTTCACACCTTCTCCACCATTTCCTTTTTGTCGACGACGAGCTCAAGCGTTCGTTTGAAGGCAGTGTCTATGAGCGAGCGGACCTCCTGGTCTATAAGCTCGGCCGTAGATTCGCTGTAGGGTTTCTCGGTGACTATGTTGCCCGGCTGAGGGAGGTCAAAAGAAACCTGGCCCACGGCCTCGTTCATTCCAAACTGTACAACCTGACACATGAAGAGAAATGACAAAGCAAACATTTAGAGTCAATGAAAATATTCAGTGTTTTCATTTGTAGTTTATCCTCTAGTAGTTCAATCATTTCTGTTTCAGCGACGGTTCTGTTTCTCATTTTCTGAGCAACATCTGGTTCGGTTAAGTTCTTTGTACGAGCTTATTCTGGTGTGTGGTGATTACCTGTGCATATGCAGACTGAGTGACCTTCCTGAGGTCGTCTTGTGCCCCGGTGGTGATTTGACGAAAGAAAACCTGCTCAGCCACTCGACCACCCAGCATCACGCACATCCTGTCAAACAGCTGTTCCCGGGTGAACAGGTACTGCTCCTTAGGTAGATACTGCGCATAACCCAAACCTTTCCCTCTAGGAACAATGGACACCTGTTGGAGTACGTTATAATTAATATGGGAAGATCCTACTTTGATTATAGAAAGCAAAGAAAAAGAGAGACACATTCTTGTTGCAGCATTTACACAGACAGTGATACCTTCAGCAGTGGGTCTGCATGTTCGAGGAACCAGCCGGTGACAGCATGCCCAGCCTCATGATACGCCACGGTGGTCTTCTCTGGACGCTGCAGCACCTGACTCTTCTTCTCCAGACCTGAGAGCAAGTAGGATGTCCTATCAGACTACACTGTGAGCATTCTGTACAGCAGACGGAGCTAAAAACATCCTTAAATTGGTGCACGACAGACGTTATCAGAGTCCAGTCAACGATTCTCTATATCAGGGGTGCCCAATCCTGGTCCTCGAGAGCCACAGTCCTGCATGTTTTAGATGTTTCCCTCTTCCAACACACCTGATTCAAATGATCAGCTCATCATCAAGCTCTGCAGAAGCCTGATAACCATCCTGATCATCAGGTGTGTTGGAAGAGGGAAGCATCTAAAACATGCTGGATAGGGGCTCTCGAGGACCAGGATTGGGCACCCCTGCTCTATATGGTCTCACCGAATGTAAAATTATTACGATAACATCCTGACAGAATAAAGCCAGATCAATAATTTCCTGGCTTCATTGAGGTGCATCACACTGAGCAAACCCAACTGATGCCAGATTACTTAGACGTGCACAAATGTGCTTGTTACCTCCAACAACTCTCTCAACCGCCTGCTCAAAGTGCTTCATATCGATGTGATGGTTGAGGTGACGAGCAGCGATCAGGGCGGCCTCGTTACACACACTCGCAATGTCGGCCCCTGAGACAAACCAGGAGAGATCAGAAGCTCGTTAGACTGTGATGTAACGGAAAAAGCATCTGCAAGGAAGTCAAACCATAGGTGACACTGAACATACATCTGTTGTTCTTACCAGTAAAACCTGGGGTTAGTGCCGCTAACTTCCTGGCCAAAGCCTGTGCATCGATGCTGGAGTCCAACTTCAGAGGTCTCAAATGCACCTTAAAGATGGACGCCCTGCCTTTTAAATCTGGTGCGCCTGAAGAGGAGAAGAAACAAGAACGCCATCATTTTTTTTTTTACAGGACATCGAGCATGCAGCCGTGGTTTGTTAAACATCTCTTTGTCGACTCTGACCTACATTACAATGCTGTATTTACGGACCTTACAGAAGATAATGGAGCTCATCATTTTGCCTTTTTCTTTTGCCAATGAGCTACTAAAAGTTGTTTACAGCCAGTTCACATTGAGAGAAACAAAGGCTGTCTGTGCACTTTGGATTGCTTTAAGTCAAACCGCAGAGATGCAAAAGCAAAGGTCAAACTTGTTAAGCGAGAAGCACAATCGATTATTCATGAAAACTACATCCACGCTTGTTTTCCTTTTATCGATATCAAAACATTATGATGTAACCAGTTACATAACTAATTACTGATCAAATTAGTTGTTTGAAGCAGCTTCATCTGCCTGTTAACTGTTTACCTGGGACAGCAGCCAGACTAAAGGACAGGAAACCAGAGGAAATAAATGTGTTCTGTCCCCTCGTGCTGGCCTCCAGTTATCTAATCCTTCCTTTATAGAAAACCGGCTCTGTCATTTTGACCCTGTTTTCTTTGTCAGAGAGAAAACTGCTCTGTGCACCCACCCCGCAGTGCTGACGACAAGCAAATTAGATCTTCGCAGGCAAAACCAGATCATCCGTTTTAATAAAAGATTAAAGCGCCACAGTATGCAACTGATGCTTTTGATGACATAACAGGTGAGCAGGCTGGAAAAAAACAGACGCACATTTAAGAGACTTGTTTTTCATGGAAACAGCTGGTCCAAGATATGAACCTAAATAAGGTTAAGCTTAGCACCTGGTCTGAAGCAGGCAAACAAAGTAACAGAGTTAAGTCTGCATGCATATTAGAGCCAGTTTGTCGCATAGTGTCTGGTTGTAAACAACTGAGGGGGTAAAAAATTCATGCATCAACAAAACACTTTGGAAAACACTCAAGGGAGGTCCAAAGCAACACAAACTCCATCACAGAAAAAGGAAAAATCAGAAAATATATAATATATATTGGAATAAAAGTAAGAATTTGAATTTATCTCAGTTTAGACAATGATAAAAATGTTGATACATTTACAGGAATGTTGAAAGACAAACTCGACAACCTTGAATGTCATAACTGAGGACGTGTGTAAAAGTGAATACAGCGTGACTCGATAATCCGACCCTTAACAATCCTAAACCTTGCTATCCGACAGGTTTTTAGGAAAAACCAACGGAACCCATTAAAAACAGCCTTAACATACCGACAGCCTTGGATTCTGACTCCAACATGACATTTAATGTCACCAATCAGGATAACAGCGTATTATCTGACTGAACAATCCCACAGATTGGCTACGTTCACACTGCAGGACTTGATGCTCAATGAGGATTTTTCTGTGAAATCCGATTTTTTTCGTTCCCATTTCTAGTTAAATGCGACTTGTATGTGATCTGCTGTGTGAACTTCATACGACCCAAACTGAGCGTGCTCAGTGTTTATGGAAGTAAACATGGATGGTAACGGTGGAGCGTATCTGCCACTCCCCCGCCACCGCCGATGGTGGAAACAGAAGTGTGAGCGCTAACTAAACTAGCATCAGCAGCCAGGTACTGCCTGTACGTTCTGACCACTTCCACCCCGTCGGAGCGCTGCCCCGAGGTGGAAGTGTCCCCCGACCGGGACAAATATTCATCATTAATTTGTACCTGAATATCCGGAGACCAGAAAGTGCTATTCAGACCAGCCCTACTAGTTATTATAACAACTATGAAGAATAAATCTTAACAACAAATGAGCCTTCCAGCATCAAGCCTCCTCATATCGCGACCTCCGTCTTGACAATCCGACAGCCTTGATATCCGACATAAAGGAAGGTTTTACATTTAGTGTTGGATTATCGAGTCACGACTGTAGTTACAAACTGAAACCAGCTATCAGACATTCATGTAGGAGCAGGAAATTGACTGAAAAAAAATAGAAATGCGCAATACAAAAGAGGTAGAGCTCAGATGAGTGCGTATATTTTACCCATGTATATGTGTCGATCAAAGCGTCCAGGCCTCATCAGAGCTGGATCCAGGACATCAGCTCGATTTGTGCCAGCCAAAACCACGATGTCAGTGCTGCTGTTGAAACCTGTGGAGACATTCAGCACACGAAGAGCTCGTGAAACATGGCACCAAGAACAGGACAGTGGCATGAGCGTTGTTAAAGATGACATAATCGCCCACCGTCCATCTCCACAAGCAGCTGGTTGAGGGTGTTTTCCTGCTCGCTATGACCACCGAAGCCTCTCTTCCGGCCGATTGCATCGATCTCGTCAATAAAAAGGATGCAAGGGGCAACTTTCCGAGCTGTGGCAAACATATCCCTTATCTGATCCAGGGCAGAGAAACGAGAGCTCACATGAATAATCCTAACACAATTATAAATCAGAACTCATTCACTCCCTGCAGCGCTAAAATTAAACCGACTTCTATTTTTGTATCTTCAATCTGCAACAATTAAGAATCCAAAGAATTATTGTGTTCACAGCTGATGGGGCCAAACAGGGAGAGCATTCAGCTCAGCTCTTACCCTGGCTGGGCCAACGCCAACAAAAATCTCCTGGAACTCGGAGCCGTTGACTGTGATGAAAGGGACGTTGGCCTCTCCCGCAGTGGCCTTAGCTAGCAAGGTCTTCCCGGTGCCAGGTGGACCCGATAACACTGCACCCTGTAAACAAAGAGTGCTCTTTAAATAAGGTAGCACATGTAACGTTTGCTCTCTGCCCTCAGGGGGTTTTCATTACAGTGTGTGAGCTCAGATTATGACTGACCCCCTAATGGCCATGAAACATCTGCAGGAGGCTACAGTTAGGGTTGATTCTATTACAAACCTTGGGGATCTTGGCTCCCAGGCTGTGGTACTGACGTGGGTTCTTCAGGTAGTTGACAAACTCTAGGATCTCGACTTTGGCCTCCTCGCAGCCTGCAACATCCTTGAAACGCACACTGATGTTGTCTTTAACTATTTTGGCTTTGGATGTACTCATGCCGAAGAGATTTCCTATCCCCCCGCCGCCGCCTTCACCCATTGGTGCATGCCGTGAGGCAAAAAGAAAAAAGCCAACCAGGAGGAGCGCTGGGAGAGCGCTGTAAAAGAGTGACCTGTGGGTATAAAAGAGAATCCTAATTAGAACATGATCCACATGGGAACATCCATTCATCCATTATCTATACACCGCTTAATCCTCACTGGGGTCATGGGGGGCTGGAGTCTATCCCAGCTGACTCAGGGTGAAGGCAGGTTCACCTGGACAGGTCACCAGTCTATCACAGGGCTACACTTAGAGACAGACAACCAAGCACACTGACATTCACACCTACGGACAATTTAGAATCACCAATTAACCTCAACATGTTTTTGGACAGTGTGGGAGGAAGCTGGAGAACCCGGAGAGAACCCACGCTGCACGGGGAGAACATGGAGACTCCATGCAGAAAGATCCCGGGTGTCCTCACCGGGACGCAAACCAACGACCTTCTTGCTGTGAGGCAACGGTGCTAACCACTGCTCCACCTTGCAGCCCCACATGGGCAAATCCAATATGAATAAAAGTCAAGTTGCATATTCTCACCCATCAGTCTCACTGCTGTACAGAACGGATATTTTCTGTGTGGCTTCCAGACCGATTTCCTGCTGAGCCAACTCCAGGTTGTACTCAAATGCGTTCACACTGCCAATGTAGAACCACAGATAGTTCTGAAACATAAAGGACAAAAGAAAACATATAATATGCAGCATATGCTTGTGTACTATTCTATTACTTTAATGACTCCCCAACTGGACTGCAGCTGTTCTGAAGGAGCCCTCAGCTGTGGTAGGTGGGGTGCACATAACGAGGGATGTCAAGTAAAGCTACAGTGCCTATAAAAAGCATCAGCTCCTTTTGTCCTTTCATTGCTGTTCAACATTTAATCAGTCAATACAATTTTTGAAAAGAAGTTATACACAAAGATTTTTTTAATGTCACAGCAGAATTCTACAAAGTAAATGTCAAAATCTAAAATGTCAAATAAGCGGCAGCATGTAAGTCACATAATGAGTGAAATGGAAATCATCTGAGTGCAGTGAACGTGTCCCAGGTAATTGTAGTATAAAGACACCTGTATTAGTCACGTTGGTCTGAAGCACGGCGGTGGCAGCATCATTATATGCACAGGCTCAATGCTGGGATTAAAACCACTTATTTTATCTGGATTATTTTTAGTTGCTGACAGTATTTTGAGGAAATCTGTTTTCAGTTTGACATGAAAAGGTAATCTTAGTAAATTCTTAGATTAAATTGACCATGACTCAATGTTGAAGGAAGGGTAATAAAAGGGTCAGACTTCCAAGGCTGAGAATACTTTTTATCGGCACTGCAACTCTATTAATGGATGAACCGCATGCGACTAATTACTGGAAAAGTTTGATGAAGCGTTATTAGCAGCCCATGTGCTTTTCTTGTGGCAACTCAAATGCGTACAGTACATCATGTTCTTCGTTCGGATTTATGTGAAAACAATGAACAAGTGCTCAGACGCCAGCAAGACAATCAAGACTTTATGTTAGCGAGCTATATGTGAGGAGAGTGGAGAAAAGCAACGCAAGCAAACACATCGGATGAGTCCAACATGTAAAGACTTGCTAAGATTTGGGTCTTTTAGGACTAAAGCTCTTGGATTTTCAGGAAAGCAAGAAACATGCGGCGTTAAAACAGAAAGCAAAAAGGGGATTTTTACGTGACTAACCGCTTCTGATGTGTTCACTCCTTGGACGGGGAATACTTTGACATACTGGTTGTTGACGACCTCCAGGTAACTCACCTGCGTAGAGAGCACAAGAACTAATGAGTTCACAGGGCTGCAAACACAGAGAGACAAAGATACCACGACAACAAAGTCTGCCTCTCACCAAGCCTCTGTTCAAGTAGTAATGCACAAAGTCCTTCCAGGAGATCTGGACCCCCTTCTCTCTTACGTTCAAGTAAAGAAGAACTGATGCCATGCCGGATACACCGATCCCAAGGTTCAAAACGGTTTTTCTATCCAAAGGAAAATCCTCCTGTGAGATAAAGAAATGTTGTAAGAGAGAGAACGACTGATTGATTTCCACTAACCTTGAACCCGCATTCTGCAGCCTGGAAAAATAACTACGAGCTCCCATTTAATAGCAGTACGACTATTACAGCAACTTGTGTTTTAAGTTAAATTTTTTGATTTATGGAAACACACACACGATCTATATACATAGACATGATAAAAATGAAAATCCATTAAATGTCATAACTAAAGGAAGATATGCAGTAAAATGAGACATATTGCAGTGAAGAGTGGAAAAAGATCCAACTCTACTTATGAGACCATCCATCCATCCATCTATAGACCGCCTAATCCTCACTAGGGTCGCGGGGGGCTGGAGTCTATCCCAGCCGACTTAGGGCGAAGGCAGGGGACACCCTGGACAGGTCAGCAGTCTATCACAGGGCTACACTTAGAGACAGACAACCAAGCACACTCACATTCACACCTACGGACAATTTAGAATCACCAGTTAACCTCAACATGTTTTTGGACTGTGTGGGAGGAAGCCGGAGAACCCGGAGAGAACCCACACTGCACGGGGAGAACATGCAAACTCCACGCAGAGAGATTCCGGTGCCCCCACCGGGACGTGAACCGGCGACCTTCTTGCAACAGTGCTACCAACTGTGCCACCTTGCAGCCCCCTTATGAGACCATTTTAATAATATTATAGCACTTAGCATATTATAGATGGGAACTTTCATATCAAAGGATGCCCACAAAAGGATGTAATATAGAAAATGTTACTTCAACATGCACTAATGACTGAAGTCAGTCTTCTCTTTTACATTTAAAGACCCCAGACACCAGCATTTTAGAAATACTATCTGAACGTGGCCATGTTTCCCACCTGAAAGCGTGTCCACCAGTGAGACTCCTCCTCTTTCCTTCCTCTTCGTCGTTCCTCCTCATCATCACTTGTGTTCTGCCCTTCCCTTCCAGGAGACTCTTCCTCTTTGGCATTTTCATCTAAGCAGCAAAAACAAAACACTCATCCACTGACAGCAGAACTAAGGACACAGGAAGTAGGCACATGCTCGCTCCACTTTTCTCACCTTTAAGTGATTTGTTGACGCCGGCGCTTTCTTCCCTCTTTGGGAAAAACTTTTCGAAACCTAAACCGAGAAGAAAACAGTTATGTGCCTGACACTGACCTAAAAGATTAAGGTCACTGTGTGCACTTGTTTAACTTGTAATAGCATTAGCGGGTTATGCTACCTTTTGGTGGTTTGTTTGAGCTGAGTGACCGAGCGAATGGGAAGCTGTGTTGACGTAATCCTCCACATCTCCTTTGGATGAGTGACGCCCTCTGAAATCAAGATATCGTATAATGAACCAAAAAAACATCTGAGACCGAGATGTACAGCGCAGAGGCCTTAAACCAGCATGTTCCTCGTAATCCACTTCATAAAAAATATAAACACATGAATTCAAGTTTTTATGTAAATAGGAGAAATCTGCTTGGCTGCATGTTTGTTTCCAAACAACACTGTTTACAGGATTACTGAAATCTTATTATAACCTCTGCGCTGTGTCACACTTAACCCTAATGCTATAAACAGATAACTCACTTATTCACAACACTGACCAGTTGCTAGAAAGCTCACATGGCATTTACTTACATATCTTCCCTTATAGTGCACATTAAAAGATGATTCAATTATTCTTGAAGGTAAAAAACAACTTTGGATTCGACCAGAATGACTCCTGCTGGTCAAATCAGTGTTTGATGGCGGAGACGTTTGTCAGATATCCTAAAATTGCTTCATATTTGACTAAAGAAAAGTTTGTGGCTGAGACAAACAAGTGATGTAACTTTCAGAAGGTCACACATTTGCCCCCCTTAAAAAAATCACGTCCCCACGGCATCTTTTAGTCTGAAGAGATCAAAACACTACAAATGCGGTTAATTTCCTCATGACTGTGTAACTCCTGGGTGTATGGCTGTTCTAAATGGACTGTTTTGCTTTTAAAAGCAATGAACCGCTGCTGTTCTCCTCCCTTTGGTTAGTTCTGTGTTACGTAGCACCTGGGTCGCATTCTCACTGGCTTATAAAGGTGGGAGGCAACCGGCAGTGGAGCAGTCGGGGAATGGCAGAAGTAAACCTGCTCATATCTTTTACATTGTTCAGATATTTTATACCTCCAAACCACAAAACACAATAAAAAAGGAATTTTACTATACGTGACTGCTGCAGTGCTCGGAGCACTAACACAACATAAAATATGAAGCCTATGATCCTCATGTGAGGAGCCGCGGAGCACTGGGTTCATTGGAACAAAAGCTGGGTTTGGACGAGTTCCCAGAGTGCGTGGAGATCACTAACCCGCTTGACAGAGGCCAACATGAGGGCTGTTTGGAACGAAAGCACCTTCAGATCTACCTGATCTAAGGGTTTGACTGAATACCACAATAAATAGAACAAAATGGCTGCAGTACTGCCAATAGTCTTTATTTGTTTCAGTACATTTTAATGACACCTAAGTGTCTACTTTAAGGTTTACTCTATAAGCAACCAGCTTTATGTTACTAAATGAGGGAACACCAGCAGCCCATGATGTTTACTGCAGCCCCATTTGTGCTGACTGACAACTAAAATCATTTAAAAATGAGACATTTATATATTTATTTTTCAGTTCATTCTAATTTTCTATTTCAGTTTGAGCAGCTTCTATATACAAAAAAGCATACATAACTCGTCAACTCCTCTCCTCTTCTTCCGTCTATTTTGGGGGAAAAATGCACAATTTACTGTTATTTTATAGATTTTCCCTGTTTTGTTAAAGTACAGATAATTTATAAAATCACAGAAAAAAGTAATAATTTGCACGTTAAATGTAAAAAAGGAGGTCCAAAATTATAAATGATCAAAAATCTGTATTTTCACAGACAGTGATTCACTGTTTTACTAAGTTTACCTGTAAAATTACACAAGTTACGGAGGCGCCCCTAAACCTCACCTAGATGAGCAGGCGACCCATAAATAGGGGCGACATGTCTGTGAAGATTCTCAGCCATCCAGGTCATGGTTATTCTGGTAGATTAATCGTAGCAGCTGGACTTGCTTGAGTTCCTTGAAGACGTTTCATCCAAGAGGCTTCATCAGTTCTGACTGACTAGTTGGGAGATCCAGATACTTATATCCTTAATGAGCCGTTAACCTCTCAGCTTTGAGAGAGGGGTGAAAGAAGTCGTCTGTGTCAAACTAGAAAGACCATCCCTCAACAGAGGTGGAGGTCTGAGGCGTCACCTCTCAGCGGTTTACAATTCAGTGTTAAGATCTCTCCCCAGGAAGATGAAACCTCATTCACACGTCGCCACAAAAGACCCTAACGAACCCCACTGTGGCAGGAGGAGCACTAACGACTCAATAACGAGGAGGAGGAGGAGCAACAAACCCCCAATTGAAACCAAAACTCAGGTGTTAGTGGCTCCTTTAGGATATAAGTATGTGGAACTCCCAACTAGTCAGTCAGAACTGATGAAGCCTCTTGGATGAGAGGTGGAACGTCTTCAAGGAACTCAAGCAAGTCCAGTTGCTACGATTAATCCACCAGAACAACAGGGGCTTTAGTTCCAGTGGTCGTGGGTTCGACTCCCGCTCACGCTCTTATCCCCCTTTCCTGTCTGTCTCTACTGCTCTAAAATAAAGGCAAAAAAGCCCAAACAATATATTTAAAAAATAAAAAATAAACAATTTACCTTCATTAACATCAACTAAAGATGTTATTAATTGGCAGATATATGCTGTTTTTTCAACAAAAAAAGACAAAAAAATGATTAATTAAACTGTCATTTTACAGATTTTCAATGTTTTATAATAACATAGTAACAACATAATAACTCATAAATCATCTACCATTTATTAGGCACTTTTAAAGTCTGATTTTTCATGTTTTTACAGTTTTGTGTTACGGTAGGTTACTGGTTCTGAACTTATTTTTTTTCTTTTGCTGCTAGATTTTCTTTTTTTCTTTTATGTGACAGTATTTTACCAGTAGGGATATACCCTAGCTTTGACTTTCTTTTATTTTCTGCTCACATTAACCTTTTCCACACACCTTTCATTAACCCCCTGTATCCACTGGGTCGGTACATCACATACAGTCTCTCTCCTATATAACACCAGACCCCTCCCTTGGAGACCAGCATCACCACTGGCAGCCAATTGCGTGTTGCGTAATGAAACTGGAGCTTCTGGGGGGCGTTTACGTGAAATACGGAGCGAATGGTATAGATGCATGATGAGGAACACAATGTTCAGTTATGTAAAAGCTCCTCATCTGGTTAAAAAAAAAAATCCTGCAAAAGCAGCCTGTGCATAACGTGCATGTTGAGTTTACTGATGCACAGAGTTGATCAGAAATCCATTGAGGCAAATCTAAATTAAAACATATGAACCTAGATATGAATTAAATCTTAGTTTGAAGAAATAAAAAAAAATCAGTCACCCAGTTTAATAAATGCACAACTTTCACATGTGCAGTCCCATGCCCAGATGCGTTTAAGTTGTTTTAAATAATAAACGCATGTGTATGAATGAACATGTGCTGCTGTTGCCACATAACACAGACACACCCCCTCCACAAAGAACATCGTGGACAGAGGAAACCGGCCCATAATCCGTATTATCAGACGGACATGGCGGCCCGTGAGAGCGTAAACAGGCCAGGAGGACACATAAACAGAGCCGCAGCTTGTTTGTTTGGAGGCCTTACAGGATTATTGGCTTCAAACTCTTGTTCCCACGACGGGACTTTTACACAGTTACACACATTAAAGTCCAAACACCAACACAGGAGAGAGAAATAAAAAAAAATACAAGAAAAAGTTCATTAATTTGGAGAAAAATCACTCAAGGTCTTACACAACAACAAAAACAACAGCGTCACCGTACCGACTTTGGAGCCCCGCAGTGGCGAAAAGTCGCAGAGATCGTGGACAAGTCTCGGCTCCACGTCCGGACCGTCCGAACCCGGTTCCGAAAGGGTCCGACGCTCACAGAAAGGAGACCCATCCTGTCGGTTTCTACGAGGAGGACTCAGCGCTGCAGGATCCAGTCCGTCTGACAGTCCTCCGGCCCATGAGCACACAACCGAGCACCCAGGAACTGCGAAATCTCGCGAGATTTCGGTTACAAAATTGGTGCTGCGTAGAAGCGGGGTTACAAAATTGCAGCCTCCCTGCACACAGGGCTCAGAATTTAGCTCAAAAGAAAGATTTTTCTGTTGTATTTGTGAGCGTGTGGGGTGATTTGCACACGAGAGTTTCCTTTTTTCTTTTTAGACTTTTGCACTACAAGACACAAGGGAGCATTTATATGACTGTCTGTGAGGGTCATCTACTGGATTTGACAAAATATCTGATCAGCAAATAATATACTTGAAATGCAGTGCATCTCCAACATTGTGACCAAAAAGTTACTAATGCATCAAAACGACTTAACTAATAAGGTTATATTGTTGTCTATAGGAAATTGGAAAAACAATTGACCAGGTCAGTCTTTTTAAAGAGGTTTCGATCTCAACGGGTCTCTTATCTGGTTAAATAAAAGTAAAACAAAAATAAAAATGTGTTCACTAAAATTACTTTCTGCTGATGAAATAGTCCTTATTTCTACAGTCTGATCAGTGCAATATCATATTGTACCATATTTTATTTATCTGTTATTTTAAACCATAGTATCAATTATATGGATCTATAATGTAGATATATATATATACATATATATATATATATATATAGTGTGTGTTGTATTGTATTGCATTTCTCAGCTCTTCCTATTTATAGTTTATGTGCTCTTTCCTGGATCTGTACTCCTGCAACAAGTGAGTTTCCTCATTGGTGGTGAAGAATAAAGTGCAATCTAACCTTTTTAAAGATATATTTTTGGGCTTTTCCACCTTTAATGATAGTTTGACAGTGCAGACAGACAGAGAAACATGAGGAGGAGAGTGGGGGAATGACATGCAACAAATGAGCTGCGCCCAAGTGCAATCTAATCTTAACTAATCAGTGAGCCCTGACCTGACTGGACAAGGGCGTCCAACCCTCAGAAATCCCTCTTAACACGTCTAAGATTGCATAACTAAACAGGCCAAAAGGGTCGAGGTGGAATTGTTCTTGAGGTCAACTCCAAGGCCAAGGAGCTCCTCAGGCAGGTCCTGTGTCTGAGATCTAAGTCAAAGGGCTCAGAAAGGCTCATCAACAGGTGAAATCTGACGACGCAGCTTCAATGCATTTCATTATTTTATTCATGCTCATGTTTCACAACAGGGCACGGCTTTGACCGGCACCACGTATGTCCATTAGTTTGAAAAAAAAACAAAATATACAGTACATCATGCTGTTAAAGGATAACACAGCCATAAGTCATTATTTTAAAACAAATACTTTAGATCAACATTTACACATCGCCAAAGTTGCCACTTAACACGTTTGTAATCTCTGGACGTAATGTGCTATAATAGGTAGAGCTGGAGACGACACGTGATGGTACGACGACGTTTGGATAACAGCTGTAGGTAACCTGACAGTCTTAGGCACACGATGTTCATGAGTATCCACGGCTAGTTGCTACGCTGCACTGAACAGAACTGGATCGAACACACGGCAAACTGTACGACATGAGTTCACAGTTTTTGCATGAAAAGAAAGCGTGTTTCACAAAACCCACCCCCCACACGTTATGTTTCTTTTCCGCACTGCATGCTTTGATTATATATCCGTCGCCAAGATATGTGTATTGCAAATTATGGCTTCAAGTGACTATTGATAACCTCAGAGCTGGCCTACACTGGATAGTATAGTATAGTAGTGTTTATTTCTTCTATGATGCTGGAAAGAAATTGGTTTAAGACTTGGCTAACCACATCAATAGAGAGAGAAAATGTGTCAAAAGGGCAAAAAGAAAAGCTGCAGTGACCTAAATCTGTTGAACTCTGACAGATTTAATCCAGATCCTACTGACGACTAATTAATGCATGTTTAGTTGTTATACAAAGAGATGCTTAGAAACGGCAGCTCAGTGAAAAGTACTTAAGCACAGTTTTAGTTTTAAGACATACAACCGGAAAGGCAGATTTCTGGTTAATACAATTTTAGATTTTGTCATCAGAAGCTCGCTGTTATATTCCTTAAAAGTCCAAACCGTTTAACAATATGGCAACCTTAAAGTTTATCGTGTTGCAGAGTTGGCAGTAAAAGTTGAGGCTTTTAAGTTCTTATACAGCCCCCGCATGCACGAGCACCTACTGATGAGGTGGCTTTACTCTATAGGGCGTTTATTTGTACATTTATACAAGCAGACACTCGCACACACACACACGCTAACGTTAAACATACATACACAGTGTTCAGTACATCCAACTTCAGTACGAATGCAAAAGTTTGATAAAAATATATATATATATATGTATGTATATATATATTAACTTCCAGGTGGGCTTGTAAATACCCTGTTTCATTCTGTAGTGCACATGAAAATAAAGACACGATAGCATCGACACAGAACAACTCAAAGACAAAGACGAGAAGCTACTTTTAACACTACGGTCAGACGTCCTTGATCTTTCGGCAAAGTGCAACATCCAGTAGCATCGGCTGGTCCTTCGTTTAGAGCTACGCTTCCTTCACGTCCGGCTCGTCGTCTTGTTTGCGTTCAGTCATTCGAGCACATCGAGGACAAGTCGTGGAGTTGTCATAGTAACAATCTCTAAAAGAGGCAGAGCAAACATCAACATGTTGGTTACATAACGTGTCATAATGACGGTATCCAACTGGGAATGGTGTCGTATTTTAAAATGACAGACAAACACAGAGCAGCCTGTTTTATTTCTCTGAATGCAGTTTATAAGTATGTTAATGTGATGCTAGATTAGCTCAGTGCAGTCGTCCTCAAATGTATTCATAGCCTCCGATTAAAGAAGGAAAAAAACAACAGCTGAAATAAGTTGAAATTGACAAAAGTATGAAAAAATAAAGATTGAATGAAAATGACGACATTGCTTTTGAATTGTGGTTCAACAGAAATATATATATTAAAACAGGGATCTCCAACTCCGGTACTCGTGAGCTACTGTCCTGCAGGTTTTAGATGTTTCCATACTGACCAAATTCTACACAAGTCTGTTAATGATCCATTAATGTGAGTCAGATGTGCTGCAGCACGGAAACGTCTAAAACCTGCAGGACAGTAGCTTACGAGGACCAGAGTTGGAGATCTCTGTATTTTAAAAAAAACACAAAAAACCACAAAAAACAAGCAGACAAGCATGATGGGACCCTTAAACTAGTATTTAGTTGAACAACCCTTTGAGCCAATCACTGCAATCAGGTGTTTTCTGTAACTCTCAGTCAGACTTCTGCACCTGTTCACAGGTATTTTTGCTCTAATTTTTCCAGGCAATTTTTTTTGCACCACAATTCAAAAGCAATGTCTGATTTCGCTAAATTATAATTTAGCAAATTTTTATTTATTATTACTTTTTCCAGTTTCTAGTTATTTGAGTGACTATTGTGAATTTTCCCTTTTCTTTAATGGAGGGGGATGAATACATTTGAGGGCTGGACATCTCAGTAGCTCCACTCAAAACATCTGCAGTGCTGTGAGCTTGATTTAATTTGTTCTTGTACCTGGCATTTCAAAATCACAATCACAAGCAATGTGAAACATTTCAGCCATCAGATAGTTGGCTATGATCTTCAGTGTGACTGGTTGGCGGTGACTAACCTGTGGAAGACAGCGGAGCAGTCGTGGCACACTGAGGTGTGACTGTCAAAAGGGAAGAGGATGTCTCCCTCCTTACAAAGCTCACACACAAATCCTTTGGCCTGACAACGCTGCGTACACGTACACACACACACACACACACATGCACAGCACAGACAGCACAGTGGAGAAAGACACGGTTTCAGAAAGGTTCTCATTTGTTTCTCTGAAAAATGGTGCATTTGCAAGTACGTATCCTACCAACTAGTTCTGAATAGACAGAATATATGAGTGCACACTACAAGATGAGGTGATCCAAAGACAGCCTTACCGACAAAGAGAATTCAAGTGTCATCAGCGCTCACCTCACAGTCTAGTTTGATGTGCTTTGCAAATGTGGTGTGGATCTCTGTGAGGGAACAGCTGAGTCTGCCGCTGGAGATGTCAATCAAATCCTGTAGTGAGTACATGTCATCGTTCTCCACGAAGTGCTGCCGGTCTTGTAGCTGGAGGATACAAACAGTGACATTTATAAAAATAAAAATGATTCAGTGTAGGGCTGAGCAATACTGGAAAAAAACAGCTTTGTATTATTCAGTTTTTTCTTATTCTTAGACTCCATCTGAGAATAATTATTCATTTTACAATGATTAGACTAGATTAGGGAGTGCGTCTGTGTAGAGCAGAGGTTCTCAGACTGTTTGAGCCACGACCCCCAAGATAACATCAGTTTGCGTTTGTGACGCCCCAGTTTGAATTTTTAATAAATCATGAGTAATAACTGTGTTGTTCATGTATTAATGCGATGAAAATTAATGTGTTCATTCCACAGATTAATCTCTTTACATTAACACGTTAATTTTCTTTTAAATGAATTGAATATATTTCAAACAAATGAAAGGGAGAAAAAAGGAAAAACAAAATAATTTTAAAAAGAGCATTAAAAAAGAGCAAAAAAAAAATAATAATATTGCATATTCAAATCATGATAAGTTCGAAAAAGGAGTGGGAAGAAGTATACACTTTTAATTTTGACCGCCCTAATACACATTTATCTGATAAATATAGGCTTTATTTTTATTTATTTATTTTTTTTTTTACAATGATCTGGCGACCCCCTGAAATTATCTTGGGACCCTCATGGGGGTCCCAAGCCCCAGTTTGACAACCACTGGTGTAGAATATGGAAATAACGGTGTATTGTCAGAAAGTATAAGGAGCAGAAATATAAATAGAATGAAAATAATAGTGACAGAATAATATATGAAATATTGCATCTTAACTAATTAGCAGCAGTGACTGAAATATTGCACAGATAAATAACAGTCCGGGGAAGTGGGGGGTGTTCTTAAAAAACAGTCCGGGGTTATTTAAGCTAAAAGTAAACCTCAGTGTAACCAGAAAGCACTGAATTGGTGTAAACTGTGTTCCATCAGACAGACTTGTTTTATGGATCAGTCAGGGCTGTGGATGAGGTTGCAGCCTGATAGATTACTTTGCATTTCATTGTCATGGAAGGTGACCACTGAGCACGTGTACATCATAATGTTGATGATATATTTTGCAGTCTTTGCTCAGTGCATCATAAAACATGCAGACAACCTGAATACCATTAGCCTCAATTCTGGTGAAAAAATAGATTATTTAAGTATTTGATATGGTAGCAGTCAACAAGCAGCAGCAACAATAAGGTTGAGGCATTTTTTAAAACCTTCTGTGAACACATTTGACTTTTTTTGCCTACTGGAAGGTATTTTTAATTATTTATTGTGGACACGTGGCCAAGTTAGAAAGCTTTGTGGAAAAATATAAAACAATTTAAGGTGATACTGAATTTGCACCAAGTTGATTTATTGAGGCGATCTACTCACATAGAGTGTATGAATAAGCTGTACATCAGCAACCAGTTTTTATAAACTCAGGGCAAGCTCCCTGCTTCTACCACATGCTGGTGCTGTTGCAACACATTACTTCCTCAAACCAGACAAATCTGCCACAACAATAAAACCACCTGCATAAAACTGTGTCGGTGCCCTTCCAGCTGCCCAGGAGTAACTAACACTTGACCTGCACATTGCAAAGTCACTTCTATATTTGGTGTATAGGTGGTGTAAAAAGTTATCCAACCTGTAATAGCAGCCGAGCTTCCATCGCCTCCTTGCAGGTAATAAAATAAGGTTTCATCAACAGAATATCTTGACGAAGTTTCTGCGAAGAAAAAACACAAACACACACGCTGCTGTGAGTCTCATTGAATGCACAGAGCTGCTGTTTATTTTCTCTCTCAGCCCATGAGCTAGCAATATTTGAAACAAAAGCAGTTTTAGTTTAATTCAATAAATCGCCTGCGTGCAAAAATGAAGACAAAGTGTGAGGAGAAGCTGGGTGATGAGACAAGTGTAAGTACGATCAGGGACAAACTATTCTAAAAGTGAATCCACCCACCCTGATCTCCACCAGCTCCTCCACAAAGTTAAAAAGCAGCGGGTTGATTTCTTTCAGCCTCAGCACAGGTCGCGGCATCATCAGTGCCAGGTAGCGCATTGAGGAGCGACAAACCTGAAAAAGAGACGCAGGTCAGATCACAAACACCAAACACACGGAAACCTGTTTTCATCTTAAAACTGTGACCTGGGTTAACCCCGCACTGGTGGACAGAAAGAAAGCATCCTGTGAGCTCTGACATGGATTGAAGTTGAAGGTGGGTCAGATGACGCCTGGCTTTCGTAAACAGATGCTGTGTTGTGTTGGGAGACACAGGAATTACATTTTCTTGGTACTGATGTTTAAACAGAATCAGTCTGACATCCATCCAGTTATTTTCCTAAACCTGACAAAGCTCCTTCAGAGCCACAGAGAGCAACACCAGAAAACACACTCATGGCGAGTAAACTGACTTCCTTGTTGGTGAGGGCACAACTTTTGTTGATGCTTCTGTAACTCAAGTCTGTTTAACCTGATGTTTAGCAGTAGCAAGTGCAACACAAGAATCTTACCAATACAGTTGTGGATGTGAGTCTCTTTGAAAAGGGACTAAGAATAAAATACGTCATGTTTTAGTAAAGTCATTCATTTATCGCAGACTGATTTATATAAGACGAAGACATACGTTTGCATGTTTAGTGTATTTTTTGCGTGACCGTTGAGGCAGGCCTCCCCGCATCCACGGTCAAACGTCTGCAGATGACCCAGAATGCAGCAGCACGTCTGGTTTTCAACCAGCCCAAAGCAGCACACGTCACCTCGCTGTTCAGATCGCTTCACTGGCTTCCAGTTGAATTCAAACCCTGACACTTGCTTACAAAACCACAACAAGAACGGCTCCCTCCTACCTGAACGCTCTCATTCAGATCTATACTCGATCAACAAAAACCTCCTGATCCAACCATCACAACAGGGCCCGAGGTCGATAGTCTTCTCCTCTGTGGTTCCCCTGGTGGTGGAACAAGTTACCAAACTGTGTTCAGTCTGCTGACTCCCTCTCAGTCTTTAAGAAAAAACTAAAGACCAGCTCTTCACTGAACACCTTTGCACCTGACTGCCCAAAAACAAACAAAAGAAGAAGAAAAAAATTCCTATGACCTCCCTACAGCCTGCTATTGGCATCAGCACCCTATCACACCTGAACCTGCTCTATGGCTCTTATCCAGATTGTTTTCTCCTGACTCGATCCTTGCTTGTATCTGCTCTCAGATGTACGTCGCTTTGGATTAAAGCGTCTGCTCAATGAAGCTGTAGAACTGTAGTACCTTGCGTGGTTCAAATTCCCAGTTGTGGATGACGCGAGCCGGGATGATGGCTGTGTCATTCCAGTGGCATGTGCTGCAGTAATACTGGCCCGTGTAGTCACACTGTCTGGCCTCACTGGGGACACCTCCTGCAAATAAATAGAAGCAACATGTACCTCTCACCAAAAATACATTTAAAACAGTCTGAGTACAGATTTCATTATGAGCCTTGGCTCTAAAGTCACTGTAAACTCTGTGCTGTGCAAATGTTTATTTATAGAACACTGACTGACAGGTTGGTTCAAAGAAAGGCAGAACCAAAGATACTGGCTTTTTTTTTTTTTTTATTGAAAGCCTGGTGCTTGTATTTTCCACAATGCAACTAAACTGTCAACACTAAACTGGGACACCGGACGCTAAATCTGGCATCTTTACTGCAACCTGTGATTGTATGTTCATAAATACACACTGTCCCGTCCAAATAAATAAATAGAGAGAAACTGTCAACAGTTCAGTAAGAATCGTGTTGGGTTTTTTAAGTTATTTTTTTGGTCTTTTTTGCCTTTATTGGATAGGGCAGTCAAGTGAGAGAGACAGGACAGAGGGGGAGAAGAATGGTGGAAGAACTTGCAGGAAAGGGCCACAAGTGGGACTCGAACCCATGACCGCTGTGACTATAGCCCCTGAACATGGGTCCCAGCTCAACCAGTTGAGCTATCGCAGCGATCAGAATCGTTTTTTTTATGCTACTGTTGGATAATGTGGCCTTTAGTAGCTAGTCTCAAGCAGAAAAGTTCACTTCTATAACTAAACCAGAGATCTCCAACTCCGGTCCTCGTGAGCTACTGTCCTGCAGGTTTTAGACGTTTCTGTACTGCAACACATCTGACTCACATTATTGGATCATTAACAGACTTGTGTAGAACTTGACAACAAGCTGTTGGAGATCCATTCATTTGAGTCAGGTGTGGTGCAGTACGGAAACGTCTAAAACCTGCAGGACAGTAGCTCACGAGGACCAGATTTGGAGATCCCTGAACTAAACACCGCCAGCACATTTGTACTCACTCAGAGAAATAGGAGTGCGACATTCTGCACAGCGGTAGTCCTGCCGGTCTAGTCCTATTTCAGGGCAGATGCTGAGCTCGTACTCTGACTGGTGGCTGACCTTCGACCTGACGCAGGGCTTGGTGATCAGGTTCATACACTTGCTATGGCAACGATAGTAGCATCCTGAAACAAGAAAGTGATAATTACATTCATGACAATTACATTCATGACAAAGACAACTGAATTTAAAAATGAATCAGAGTTCTAAGTGGTGATCAGATTATTTGGACTTGAATAGAAATTCATTTTAACCCCAAAGTGTGGAGCTTTACGAGAACAAGCGAGACAGTCTCATTTAAGTTCGGTCTCAATTTTAAACAAACAAAAATGTGCCATTTTTTATTCTTTCTGTTGCATCATTGTGGTACAAACATCTCTACAGCGCTGCTATCAGCTACACTCCACAGTAGGGCTGGGCCGTATCATACCGTGCACGGTAATACTGGTATAATGTTAGGGGATGATATGAAACTGAAATAAAATAAAATAAAATTTGAGTGAAACACCCATGTGCAGTGCCGCTGTTTTCGTCCGGTCTAATGCACATGGAGCGAGAAGCACGACGGCTACCGAGGAGGAAGGAGAATGCAGCGCATTGACCGACACAGTCGGGCTGGACCTGAATATTGGAATAATCAGTCGTTGAGGTGGTGTCTGGATAGCAATTTTGAGATCTGAATATTCACCCTCCTCCACCACCGCCGCCACCACCACCCGATGGTGAAAACAGAACTGTGACCGCTATCCTAAACTGGCATTAGAAACCAAGTACTGCCTGTGCATCCCGCCCACTGCCACCCCGTCGGTCCATATACTGACCCACCGCTACCACCCCCCATTTCCAATTGAAATGCCTTTTGATTAAACAAATTGTCAGCAAGCAATTTACAACTTATGCACTATTGATTTTGGTACATTATAGCTTTAATGCACATCAAAAACAGCTGCTTGTTAAATGGAAAAGAAAATGTTTTTTTTTTTTTTAATTTGCACCAATAAAGTTGTGCAGGTTTGAAGTATTTTCTATAGCGTCAATTATATCGTCAGTTACATCGTTATCGCAAATTTTCTCATTCATATCGTGATAAAGCGCTATGAGACGACTTGTTGTTGTAAATATGCGCTATACAAATAAAATTGAATTGAATTGAATTAAATATTTCTGGCCATATCCCCCTGCCCTGCTCCATAGTGTGTCTCACCTGTGCAGGTGTACCAGGTCTGGATAAGGCCCCAGATGATAGTGCTACACTTGTCGCAGGTCTGTTTCACGCTTTTGCTCTTTTCCTTGGAAAAGCGATGCTCGAGAAGTACTCTCAGATTTGGCTCATCCTCCTCTGGGTCCTTTTAAAGGGAATAGAACAGAATAGAATGCCTTTATCGTCACTATACACATGTACAATGAGATTAAGAGCAGCTCCTTCAGTGCAACATAGAATAAAGAACAAAATAAAGAGCAAAAAAATAAAATAGACAAGAGGGCAAAGCAAAGGTCAAACATCCACATGACCTCCAACATGGCTGCAACACAGTTCATGTACAGTTGAACAGGACATGGATAACGGCAAAACATGCGCATTTTAATCTACTCTGACTTAAACAAGCAGCATTTCTTCACTTATGGTCTCGCCATATGATCTTCCCCGAAGCATAAAGGATAACACATTTCTATTTTCCAGACAAAACTTGTCTGTTCAATTTGATCAGATGGCGATACAGCTGCCCTTGTTAGATAACACAGAGCGCTCTGGGTAAATTCCTTATAATTTACAGTACGAGACATAACCCTGAGCTGCTTCACATGATACGGTTCAAAATGACAAAAAAACACTTTATGAAAGAGGATGTGAATGTTTCGCCAGTTCCCAGCAACACTGCGAGCAAGTCACCTAGACAGCTTTATCAGTGACATCAGAGAGACTACAAAGGCGCAGACACTGCTGAGCAACAAGAACGGGCCTGGGAGTAAATGAACACACACAAAAACAAAGCACACAGCTCCAAAGACACACAGACAAGCACTATCTTTTCTATAAAACATATTTAACTGGTTTATTTACTTGAGTGCCATTCAAGATTGGTAATATTGTGCCGTCTTCGGTTTTAAATAATCTCAAGCTACTGTTTTAAACATGAATAAGTTTGAGGAAGTTTCAGATCTCCACAAACTTGTTTATCAACTCATCAGTCTCAGCATTGGGGAAGATGCCAAAAGTGCCAAAAGCTTTTATTTAGGCTGTGTTATAAGCACAGCAGGCTTTCTTACAGTTGTCCCAATTATCTGTCTCATACTGATCCCCACCCATAGGCATCACTTCTCAGCTACAACTACAATTGCTATTAGAATTTCCCCCTAAAATTTCTGCTAAATTTCTATTATTTTCCAAATGCCTTCGAATGCAGCATCAGTTTCAGGAAATGTCTCTTCATAAAAGTCTCCAACCTTGAGTTCCTGCAGTTTGAGACGCAGGTGAATAAGTTTCACCACAGTGTCCTTTTGTCTCTCTGAATGCTCCGGCAGCTCCAAGATCAGCTTCTTGCATTCCTCTATGGCCAGTTTCAGCTGTTCGATGTCTGACGCCACAAAGGAACCCTGTCACAGCAAGTGTAAACAGACAGGGAAGTAAAAAGAGAAAGTATGCACCTTCAGTTTTGAAAGATGACACAGTTTGATTTGTTGTGAAGCATTAGTTTTGATTTGGGCTGAAAAAAAAAAGCATCACTTACCACAGGCCTTGAGAAGTGATCCTCAGCTAGACCGAGGTCCATGGTCCGATCCGAACTGTGGGTTCTGGTCCCCGAGAACAGCTCAGGTCTTGCTTCTGAAAAGAGGGGAATGCAGCATAAAGCGCTGTTCTTCCTGTTAGCGTACAGACTATGCCTCGGCAAGTGCACTCAGTCACGCGTGGTAATTTCATACACATGACTACGGTCATTCAGGACCGATCTGACACACTGACTCACTGCTCAAGAATTCCTGAAGAAGGACAACAGCAGACAATGTGGACAACTGAGGAACACAGAGGTAATCGTCTTATCGGAGCTGGTAATGTGTAACCGGAGCCAGCTGACAAGACATCTGCGTAATATGTCATTAAAACTCACTAGTCAGAATGAACTTTGAAGTGCTGGCCATGGTTCCTCTACATGTTTACAACCAGCCTGTTTCAAAATTATTCATTATTTTTGGTTAGATCTATTATAGATGTGTCTTGACATAATTGTATGGTCATTTTCTAGGGTTACTATGAAACAAAATTCAAAGCTATCCATCCATCCATCCATTATCTATACACCGCTTAATCCTCACTATGGTCGCGGAGGGCTGGAGTCTATCCCAGCTGACTCAGGGTGAAGAGACAGACAACCAAGCACGCTCATGGACAATTTAGAATCACCAATTAACCTCAACATGTTTTTGGACCTGGTGGGAGGAAGCTGGAGAACCCAGAGAGAACCCACGCTGCATGGGGAGAACATGCACATTCCACCCAGAGGGGACAGTACTAACCACCGAGCCACCTTGCAGCAAATTCAAAACTAGCAAAACTTTCCCAACACACAAAATCTGATCAGCCTCTATTCTTTATGCAAATTAGTTTCCTTGTTGGAGAGTACACCTTGTTAGGTTCTGGTTATCGATGTAAAATATGAAAGGAGAAAAAAGAAAGGTTAAAAATGGTAAAACAATATGCAGTACAGGGCTCAGATTGCACATCAAATAAAAGCTTTGCTAAATGAATACCTGAAAGAACCTGTGATCGTACCGACTGGCATCAAGAGTGAAATCTGAAATTATTGGCAATGAAGTAAAAATCAAAGCAACACAGAACAGAGGAATCTAAATGGAGCAAAGTTTGAAAAGATAGAGAAAACACAGGTTTAACTCTTCAAATGACACATTCTAAACTTCACCATCACATCATTTAACAAACCGTCTCTCCATCTTACTACAAAAGTGCACATAACTGCAGTCATTACCTGCGTCCACCTCTAAACAAGACACGTTGAGTGAATCCATCTCGTCAGTGCCACACAAAGAGACAATACTGAAGCAGGGAAACACCAGCAGAACCAGCACAGCTAACTGTGAGTCATACGTGTCTGTCAGAAGGGTTGTAATCACACCAAAAGTATTCGATTCCCAAATCCTAAAATACAGGAAGTGTTACTAAAGCATTGCGTACACTTATGCTTTTCATTTCCTCTGGTTCAGCTGCAGCATTTCCAACTTCCTTTTCCATTAGCTCAGCGTTACTCACAGCAGACCTGTGTGCTTGTTCTTTAGGTTTTAGGATCTGAACATGAAAACACTTTAACTGGAATAAATAGTTTGTTAGTGATGGAGTCAAAGCTCTTCTGTACAGCAAGTAAGTCATACTGATGATGTGAAGTTTTGGCATTAAAAGTGAAGCAAGAAAACACCTCCCACTGTCATTTGTTTGATATTGTAAATATCACCAAAGTATATAATCTACATCAGGTGGTAGAGCGGTTGTCCTCTAATCACAAGGTTGGTGGTTCGATCCCCTGCCCCTCCACAGTCAAAAATGCTCCCAATGGCAGGCAGCAGCTTGCATGGCAGCTCTGTCGCCATTGGTGTGTGAATGGGTGAATGAGAAACACATTGCAAAGCGCTTTGAGTACCACTAAGGTAGAAAAGCGCTATATAAGTGCAGACCATTACCATTTAAGCCAGTAGATAACTAAAATATTTTGACTTTATCCTCATGTTCTTAAAGTAAACCACTCACAGAGAGCCGAGTATTTTACTGTCCTTAGGACAGACCAGAGTCCGGAAACATTTGCACCACAAGGGCTTTTAAAATCCTAAGCTAACCCAGTTGTTTTCCCAATCTACCAAACCAAGACGGACCAAACGCACTCCTTCGTCGAAGCCAATGATGATTAAGATTGAAGATGAAATGCATAATTCCTCTTCTGATGATGCATCAAAACTGAGTTCCCATAAATGACGTCTACGTGACTTTACACACCTCGGTTTGGTGGTTTAGTTAGAGAGTACACAAAACAAACTAAAAGCAAAAGTCCACCACTATCTTTTTCTTTCTTGAATGAAACTACAGGTGTGAAAACAGCCGTAAAGTGAAGTCATATTCCACACTTGAGATGTTTGTGTCACGCTTGATAAACGGAGGAAAACTCACCGTGCTGCGGGGGCGTCTTCCCTCCTTGGGGACCATCTTCTTCCTCTCCACGATCGAATGGATTGAGGCGGGTTTGGCGGAAAAGTGCAAGTCTCTCATCATACTCCATTTTATTGGCTACATCTGAAGAAGACAAAAACACACCAAAGTCACACCGAGCAGTTTGGTAAACTGTCTTCTCTTGTGTTTATGAAGTGACGGAGGGACAGGGGCCTTGGCTGCCTTTTAATGGAAGCTGGTTAGCTCATGTGTCTGCTTGGATATTGCTTATTGTGCAGCGCGATCCCTGTTCAATTGTGCTGCTCTCGGCTATAGACCTAACAAGTTCCAAAAAATACATATATTTACAGGATACATACTGCATGCAAAGCAGTTCCTTATTTTAAGGTTGGTTGAAAGGAACCCGATATGCTCACTGCGCTGCTACAGCACCGAACAGAAAAACACCATCATACACTGTTCACATGGTTAAAATCTGCTCGTCCAACATAAGTTACGATTTAGTTTTGTACTTGGTGGATTTATGTGGTGTGAATGTGAGCCTGGCTTCGCCCTAAGTCAGCTGGGATCGGCGCCGACCCGAGTGAGGATTAAGCGGTGTATAGATTTATGTGGGTCACACGCTATAACAAAAGATAAGATCAACTTTACTGATCCTCACTGGATAGGCATGAAAAAAAGCAGGACAAGAATTACAAAAGTACAGCAAGACTAGAAAAAATAAACATATAATAATAATGATAAGGTCAAAATATCAGCAGCAAGTGGATTAGATATGCCAACCTATAGGGCAGGGGTGTCCAATCCTGGTCCTCGAGGGCCACAGTCCTGCATGTTCTAGATGTTCTCCTCTTCCAACACACCTGATTCAAATGATCAGGATCGTTATCAGGCTTCTGCAGAGCTTGATGATGAACTGATCATTTGAATCAGGTGTGTTGGAAGAGGGGAAACATCTAAAACATGCAGGATTGTGGCTCTCAAGGACCAGGATTGCCCACCCCTGCTATAGGGCCTACTCCCGGTCTTCTAAAATGCAATTCAGTTATACTTTTAATCAGGCCGATCCTGTTTGGTAAATGTCTACATCTTTCAAACTGCGTTGTATTCTTACAACCCTAACAAAGGAAAGCCTGAGTATGCTATCAGGGTTTCCTTGATAACACACTCAAAGACATCAAACAAACTCCCTTTGACAACTAAACTGCCTTTGACATGAAAAGTCTGCACAATCCTCAATGGGATCCTTTTGTTTTTTTGGGCTCCAAATGCTGAAGCTGAATAAAAAACTGTCATGTCAAGACTGTTTTTCATAAACACAGAAAGAAATATTTATTAAAAAGTTAATAATGGATCTCCAGCAAATAAAAAAGCCAAAAGATTCCCCCCAAAAAAGGCTAATTTGACTTCAAATGTGTGTTGATTCAAAGGCATCAAAACAAAAACCACATGAGCCCCAGTGATATCAAAGCACTGTATTTAAATGGTCAACAACATCCCTGTCTGCAGGCTGGAATTTGTAGATAATGATCTTAACAATCCCCACTTTATGCCTTTTTTTTATTTGAAGACTATTAAAGATCAGTAAATGGGGTCAAGAGAGGAAACACTACAAAGCGTGAGCAGCGCTAAGTTAAAGCCTCGCCTCACCAATTACAACCAATCAGGGCTGCTGTTGACAGTCTCCTCTCCAAAGCGCTACCCTTGATTATATTTCGCCTATTACTGCGAAATATGCAAAAAAAAAAAAAAAAAAAACCGGCACCAAGTACATTACAGCCACACAACAGAGCAAATCGATATCAACACACAGACGTTAACAAGCGGCTAACGCTAGCTAGCCGACTAGCTTTGAAACTAGCTGTTGTTTTGATGCTAACGTTGGCTAATTTTCCGCGCCCGTGTCTTTGAAGAGCTTACCCCGTTGTTCACCGTATTATCATCGGGGAACTATCAGCTGTAAAAGTGTATAGTGTGGTCGACGGTAATGGTAAATATGAGCGGCTCTCCCCGTGTTGTTTTGTCCCTGTCATCAGCAACATCACAAGGCAAAGCGGCGTCAAGTTAGCCGATGCTAAGCAGCGGTTTCCGGTTATGGTTTTCAAAATAAAACTACCCATTACGCTAATGAAGTCGTGTTATAGCGCTAGTATGCGGAACTGGGGGACATATAAAGATCGCGTTGAAATTGTACCTGCGTGTGAACATAATATAGCTCTTGTGAGAGTGCGTTGTATTACGCTTCATATTATTTTATATGGAAGCATTGTTTCATGCTTTTACTTTGAAAATCAATTTCATTCATTATTACCTTCCGAGCCATTTCCTCAGTGATGAAACCACTTTCAAAGTGTTGGCTGCATGTGTCAGTGGGACTTCTCTTTTTTGGTTCTTCACATTTCATCTTTTATTGAAGAGTTTTTCATTTGTTTTGTTTTTGTTTTTGTTTTTTTAGTTCTAACTGACTGATGAGGAGTCCCACATATGTTATCATCCCTAAGCACACAGGGGTCCATTTCAGTCAAACTGCCAGATTTCACAATAATATTTGCAGGGTAAGGGGTGACGCAAGATGTTAATGGAGGTAAAACCTTCTGGAGAGAGAACTCAAAACCGCAACAGAAGTATTGCATAAGCAGTGTCGTAGATGCCTTCTGCTTTATAGTGATGACATTACCAGTTTAACATTTTAACATTAATGGATTTCTTACCTCCTGCATCCGTCCATCTGCTCTTTCTGTCCAGAATGTGACCACTGTTGTCCTCAAAGGAATGTCCATTATCCTTTAGATGCACGTGGACCGCTGAGTTTTGTTCTGTGCTGAGCATTGTGAAGTGGTTGTTTTAGTCTCCCTTATGTATAGGTCTGTGCTGTCCTTGCTGCATTGGCCTGCATATCAGTGTTGCTCAGCTTGTGTGGTGGTGTTTTACCATTTCTCACAGTCTGTTTGGGTCAACAGTGCACTGGGTAAGTCGTGTTTGGAGACAATCCCTTTAGGTTTCCTCGACACACCAGATGCAAAGAGATGACGATCCAGGAAACTAGAAGACTGAGAATCTACGCAGATGCTCGTAGGCTTTCTTATCACTTTCCACTGCAGCTAGATCACAGATCAGTTGGGTTACAGTTTGCACCTATGATAAAAACCAAGAAGCAAGGTTTTTTTCTCCAACAAAAAAAAAAAAAAAGCAAGTCCCAAATTGGAACCAAAAGAAACCCCCCAAAAGGAATTTTGGGAATTTTTGGGAAGTTAATGTTTGCTTTCTCATTAGTTTATTTTTCCAAAAGCACTTGGTATGTAAGTAGCTTGTTGTCTGTCTGAAATTTACAAGATGAAGAGGCATTGAGTGCATCATCAGACATTTCAAATCAAACTGGTTCTTGCACGCTGTGAAGGACAAGGACTGTTAAGCTTTGGTGAGGAAACCGTAGGGTCACTCGGAGTGTCAATATTGAATTCCAACAAAGTGATGACTTAAATAAAAAACATAACAGTACTGTCGCTCTAAAAGCACATTTGCCTTTTTAAGCTTTCAAGAAAGTGGGCATTAGTCTCATTACTGCCGTTTAATTGTTCAATTGCATTAGCTAGACTGGTAAGGTCACAGACTTAGTAGATCATAAAGCAAATACAGTATGCATTGTTAATGGAAATACCATAACATTAAACCAGTTTGTCATATTGTCTGCTATGCTGTGTCTTTAGAAACATGATGCAATGAGACCATAGAAAGTAAACAGAAATTTAAGGACTCATTTAGGCAATATATGTATATATATATATATATATATATGTGTGTGTGTGTGTGTGTGTGTGTATCTACAGAGCCTTTTTATTGAGAACACTTAAGAGTTTAGACAACATTTCAGTGGAACTTTTTAATTTAGGTGCCTGAGCTGATGGTCTTCTGAGAACAGTATTCCAATGACGCCATCCATCATCTATACACCGCTCAATCCTCACTAGGGTCATGGGGGGCTGGAGTCTATCCCAGCTGACTCAGGGTGAAGGCAGGTTCACCTGGACAGGTAACCAGTCTATCACAGGGCTACACTTAGAGACAGACAACCAAGCACACTCACATTCACACCTACGGACAATTTAGAATCACCAATTAACCTCAACATGTTTCTGGACTGTGGGAGGAAGCCGGAGAACCCGGAGAGAACCCACGCTGCACTGGGAGAACATGCAAACTCCACGCAGAAAGATCCCAGGTGTTCTCACCGAGACACGAACCGGCGACCTTCTTGCTGCGAGGCAACAGTGCTAACCACCACTCCACCTTGCAATAACAGTTTTCCATAATCTGTATTTTTTTCACAGTGTTTTGACCACCAGTGTGGTTAAACATCAGAGCTACATAACATCTACACAGAAAAGACAACGCCTAAAAACTATTAAGATATAAACAAAATAGCTACTATTCAATGTAAAGATCATAAGTTTAGTCAGAGTAGTTCTAGAGGAACCACCTTTCCTACAGACGCTACATGTGAGACCAAATAGTGTCTCAAAGAGAGGAGGTGTCAGCCACCACAGTGAAGATGACTTCTTAAGCTACAGTGATATCTTTCTCGTCAAACATGGCAGTAGTCTTATCAGAATTTCTTTTACAGTAGGTGCCTGCTTTTCCAGCCTTGTGTTATGTGCCATTAGCTGGTGAATGAGCTCCTTTGTGCCAACTGAAAACATGTTGTACCACCAGGTGTAAAAAAAAGTTGAGGACACATATAGTGTAGCCTCGAGCAAACCAAAAGGTCTTTGCTCATAAGGGAAACATTGTGTAAAGAATACTGTTTGCTCGTTAATAAAAAGGTCTTCTGTTTAGCTTGCTAGGTCATTAATGACTGTGTTAAACAGGAGCATATGACCCCCTTTAGACACAGCAGTGGTTTTTGTATAATTTTTTTATAACAGTAATAAAAAAAATCTTGTTAAGAGAGCACTCCGTGTCAGTCATTTTCATACCCACTTAAAACTAACATCTTCATGCTCGTAGTCCATGTGGATACAGTCACATACATGAACACATCTTGTTTCTGTTGTGACAGCAGTCTTCACCCTTCATCCCAAACTGTGTTCCTGAGACGTTCTGCTGCAGGTTGGCCCAGAATGGGACGCAGTTGTCGTACTTTCAAGTGTGTTTTAATCACTATTTCCATATGGAACTCAGAATAAAACATGTGGTCTGAACTCCATCCATCCATCCATTATCTATACACCGCTTAATCCTCACTAGGGTCACGGGGGGCTGGAGTCTATCCCAGCCGACTCAAAGCAAAGGCAGGGGACACCTGGACAGGTAACCAGTCTATCACAGGGCTACACTTAGAGACAGACAACCAAGCACACTGTGGTCTGAACTTCACCACATAAATACCAAATCAGTTCTGAGGAGACGCCCTGCAGCTTCTAGCAGTGTCACCTTTAGAGCTGCATCATTAAAGGTTCCTCACAATTTGAACATGAACATAACAGAAAACAGCGATCTGTTCGATCAAGACATCATGGAATAACGGTCACACTGTCAATTCAGCCTTGCATGCATGTTTCAAGCAACTTAGTGCATGTGAGTCCGTCCCTTTGAAGCTGTTGGCCCACCGTGTGTCCATTAACCGACCTCGGCACTGTTAAAGTGGAAGTGCAGTCTGGAGTGTTCGGCCAGTGTCCCAAAAAACAAAGAATTTTTTGTGTTTCATTTCAGCTTGGTGCGACAGTCTCTACTGCTGTGTTACTGCTCTTCTCTGCAGCCTGTTTCACTGTGCATGTGTCTCCTCTGCTCTGTGTTCTGCTGAACTGGACACACACTCAATAAAGTGCATGAGAGACAGGTGACATGACAATAACTCCAGTAAGGTGGAAGCAGCTTGTAGTGGCCAGTTTAGGCTTGCAATTGATTTTTTTCTTTTCTTTTCTTTTCTTTTGACTGTCATGTAGCATTTTTGGTTGTAAATAAAACACTATCCAGTGGTTGTGAAAAGTCTTATAAATCACCTTTAAAAACTATGTGAGGAAAATAAACAAAACAAAAAAACACACCTACTGAAAGCATCTATGCCTCGAACTTCATTAGCCCAGATCAAAGATTATGTCCATCAACACAGCAACCCCTTTTCAATTAGACATTTACTCTTTCTAAGCAAATCTATGAGCATCCTAAACCCTGTTCTTGTCTTTCATGTGGTGGTTCTATTCACTATCTGAATGTGTTACAATGACCGCCAAGTATGAAACAAAAAGGGAACAGGCATCTGCACATAAGGAGCCCAATTGTCGTGTATGTATCTATGCACGTGCACGTTGTCGATCCAAGCAGGATTCAGCATTGAAAGCTCCAGAGAACAAAACTACGGTGGCCCAGAAGTGTCACAACACAACACAATAAGCCACAACACAACCAAATTAACCACAACGCTACAAAATTAGCCGCAACACAACAAAACAAAAACCACAACACAACACAATAAGCCACAACGCTACAAAATGAAACACAACACAACGGCTGCAATGGAAGTTGTTTTTTTTAACCCGGAAGTTATACTGTGAAGTGCGCAACGCCACACAAAGTGGGCAGAAGCCGGAGATTAATGGACACTATTTGCCATCAGTATTTTACTTTCTTTCGAGTTGTTTCCAACAATCTCCGGCTTCTGCCCACTTCGTGTGGTTGCGCGATTCACAGTATAACTTCCAGGTTAAAAAAAACAACTTCCGTTGCAGCCGTTGTGTTGTGTCGTGGCTTATTTTGTAGTGTTGCGGCTAATTGTTTTGTGTTGTGGCTTTTGTTTTGTTGTGACACTTCTAGGCAACCGTACAAAACAGAAGCAAGAAGATAACAAAGGCCAGTGCACAAGTAAACCTACTGCTATCTTTGAAAGAAGCTGCAACGGTGAACATGACATAAGGAGTCAATAGAACTCTGCAGCAGACAGGATGATGTCAAACAGTTAAAGAAACAGTCCAACATTTACTGATCACTGTAAGACCACAATTTTAAACCTTGTTTATTCAGTGTTTTCAGTCGTACGGCAGGCTGAGTTTGTATCTGGAGCATTTCTTTTTTTGGTTCTTGCCAAGTCGTTTAATGGGCAAAAACTTAAAAGAAACAAAACACATATACTTAATGGGTGTCCATCCCCTCAGGGTCAGAGATTTGGTGTGTAATGAGTAACACTAAATCATGGAGTGTTTGTGGTTTTGTTGGGAGCTGTGAAAATTTTTCTTTGCTGAAAACAGAGCTGTGGTTTGTGGATAAATGAAAGAAGAGCTCATAATACAAACTCTAAAACTATATACTGACTGCAGATTATCCAGCCACACATTTAGGCAATGATGCCTCCAGTCGAACTGCACGTCTAACATACGTCTTCTTTATTCAAATATTATTGTCTTGATGGAAAATGATGGAAAGTCACAAAGAATTTCAATGAATCTTTCTATTTTCTTTTATTATGACAGAATGAGAGGTTTAACCAAGGTGGAGCAGGGCATGGTTACAGAGTGTTCATAATGAAAGTGATCATGTTCTTATGACAAGCGCATTGAGGAACAACATGTCTGCTTTTCGCTTTCATCTGTGAAGTCACTGGTGGCCGTCTGTCTAAGACACACCCAAAGCATCATATGATCAGTTACATGGACAGACAGAGCAACTGCAGTATGTTCTAAATATGAACTGTACAGTGACGTAAGGGAACATATCGTGCACGAATGCAACTCAAAACATTAATGCAAGTGAATACACAGCATAAAGGACCAAATGTGACCTGTTGTTGGGCCGCCTCACGTTGCCAGAACACTTTGAATGTGTCTTGATTCTGGAGGGATGCGTCACCATGTTTCTATCTCTAAAAGGCGTTCCTTCGCTTGGTGTTTTGATGGTCGTCGGAAGAACATTGTGTAACAAGTAATCTCCTATAGACGCTCGCTGAAGTCAGTCTGTGAGGGACAAAGCATATGATCGCGTCCCTTTCATGCTCATCAAACCTTTTCAGTGACCCCTCGGGGGGGCAGAGTCACCCCACTCCTATTAGGACAGACATGTTTTATCATAAGAAAGCCTCGATCACGCAGAGAGACTTTGTGTTGATTTGTTGTCCATAAGCATCAGAGCTGGATCACTGGGGCCTGAGATTGAGTTGGTAGTACAGATAGACAAATAGATAAACATATAAACCAATTTGTCAAAGCTATGGGACAATCTCCCCGCAGCGAAGACCATCTAGGAATTATGATCTGAGTAGAATTGTTCAAAAATCGTAGATAAAGATCAGTAAGCATGACACTGACTGTTAAACAGTTCAAAACAGAAGCAAACATTCAAATCTATGACAGAGTTTTTCATGATGCTTCCATTGTTTAGAAAAATAAACAAAATTTCCAAATCATCCCCTAATGAGTGACCTCAAACAGTTTATAGGATCATTTCAAACAATTTAGACGCCTAATTTCATCCTTGAGGACGGGATGCGGCTTTATGTCTGTTCCAACTGGAAATCCCCCGTTTCCCTCCATCCCAGTTATTTCCAGCACACCAGCTCAACTTGATCATGAGTTTAACAGCCGAGCCTTTTCAGAACACGCCTTTGTTTTACTGTACATCAATGGCCCCACTGTCTGCTGAGAGCAAATGTTGTCTTGCATATTTTTTTTTTTTAAATGTGAAGCAGGAAAAAAACTAAACACTTGTTTATGTGTGGTGTAAATTAGGTTAGGCTCAAAGGTGTCTAAACAGAGGTTTTCACATCCAAACTTATGCACAGCGGCCTTACTTTCATAACCTTTAGATGACATCTGTTGCCGTATTCGACATCTTTTGCGAAGATGGTGGTAGCATCTGCACAGTGGGAGGAATTGCAGAAGACTCGTCTGCACATCAAATAACAACATGTTGACCAAGCATGCAACGGTATGTACATGTAGGCAATAACAAGAGGACAAATAATAGGAAAAATATATTTGAGAGTCATCAAAAATAATACCACCGTCGGTATGCATTTACCAAGCTCTTGTTTCAGTCCCTTTATTTGGGACAAACATATAAACAACTTCAATGATTACAGGTAACACTCATTCCTTCTGTACAATAACTGAGCACTATGATGCTGCAGGGTACCACTTCTGAGTTTACATGGGAGGCAGGCTGCAGTTTCCTCAGTTACACCCACAGCATTACCAGTATGTGTTGAACCATGTTTATTTAAGGTGACATCCCTGAGCACAGAGTCTCGTCACCCTTCATAGAGGTTACGTCCCACAACATGAAGGAAAAACACAGATAATTAAATGACAGTGTTAAATACCATATGAGAAGAAATCAAAGGAAGAATACAAGGAGTTAGAAATAATAAAAAAAAAAAAACACCAGAAAAAAAAAGGCAAATATCAAGGATTAAAGGGTGGTCAGTGTATAAATCATAGTGATAACACTCAAATACTTTGGGAAGCGTTATTTAAAGTACCACAGTGTGTGACAGTTTACATTGTTGAGTCACATTCAGATTTCACTCTGCAGGCTCGTCTCACATGGACAGCTTGGTAACGGGACCTTTTTCCCTTCATTTGGAAATAAATGTCCTTTTTTAAAAAATGAAAATTTTTACTCCTCAGCAGTAAGTATGGAAAATAAATACTCTGAACAAATGCAAATATATATACATGACAGCACTCCAGTTTTTTGTAATAAAAATGCTAACAGTCTAAGATGTAGGCCCCATTTGCAACAACAGGTTCGGGAGGATTAGTTTGTTTTAATTCCATCAACTGAAATTGTTATTGAAGTATTTAAGGCAACAGTCAATGAAGTGTTTGTTAAAGGTTCCATCAGTGCCCCTTACAAAGGCAAAAAGGCCCAATAACAGAGCTTCTTTTCTTTCTTTCTTCTTTTTTTTTTAAATCTATACTTTATCAAAACTTGCCCACAGGCCATCTGGCCCAGTGCCTCGCTTGTTTGACCTACATCACTAAAAAGGCCCCAAATCTCTCTGTAGCTCCTTCTGTTTGGCACATTTCAGAGAACAACACCAACTTTCAGATATATAACTCTAATTCTCTCAGTCCAAACCCAAAGCCAGGGGGTTCATCTGATGCTTTTTCTTTTTCTTTTTTTTTTTTTCTTTGGAAGAGTTGCTCACATGAAGTGTTGCATGTCTCATATTTTATCCATTTGCGTCAAGCTTAAATCAACACGATCAATTCGTTGCTAAATGATGTTTTATCCACGGTTAACTTTAATCGAATGATATCGTTCGCATCACCATAAAGAAATTTTAATAAAATCGGGGCATGAGCAGCGTTAAAATAACGCCAGGAGGGGAAAAAAAAAGTCCCAGCGGCTGGCCACGACAATCATAGCAATTAGATTTCCATGACGCATCAAATTAACTGAGAAGTGAATGTCACAAAGCTCTTTGCTGTTGAGTAAAATGTATTTTTAAGTTAAGGTCTATTAAAAATTAGTTCCAAATTCTAATTTAATTTCGATGCTTCTTTTATTTTTATTTCCCCCGGTAAGTTAAAAGGGAGGGAACCTTTCATTTTCTTCCAGTTTTGTTAAAGTTTGGCACAAAAAAATGAGACAGGTCACATATTTCGGCACTTTATATATAAAACACATGATTTACAAAAAGAAAAAAATAAGAAAAATAAATGAACAGACACAAAAAGAAGCACGTCAGTTTACAATAATGTGATCCAGTGTTTGAAATCTCTCCAATTTTTTAAGAGAATCATTGGTCAGATGATTTATCCAGATTATTCAGTGCAGTGTAACACAACAATAAATAAACCCGCAACTAAAACTGAAGCCAATTCCATAAGAAAACAAGTCTTTGTGTAAAGACAGCTACAGTCTCAGAGCGGCTCGTAGGCCGACAGCGTGGCGCACGGTCACCATCTGCCAGTTCACACAAGATCTCAGTCACGGCTGTCATAATGTACATTCAGGAGAGGAGAACAGCGTCAATAACCTGATTTGCTCTTGTTCTCTTCCCTACATTTACATAACATCAAACGCCGAAGCACCAAGAGCAGAGGACCAGCTCCTGCAGGGTTTTACGCAGCTCCTGGCTCCGGTACGCGTAAATGAGCGGATCGATGAGCGAGTTGCAGATGATGAGGATGAGGAAAAGGTTAAAGTTTCGGAAGAAACAGTTGCAGAAGGGGCTGGTGGGGCAGGCGAGGATGAGGATGAGGTGGAGGAAGAAAGGGCCCCAGCATAAAATGAAGACCCCGAGCAGAATGGTGAGGGTGATCGCTCCCTTCATGCTCGTGGATTGGCGCCGGCTTTTGTGGAAAGCCATGATGCGCCGGGAATGCACGTGCGCCAGGAGAAACATGTGCAGGTAGAGCACCGCGTTGAACACCAGGGTGATGCAGAAGAACGTGACGAGGCACACGATGACCGCGTTGTCGGTGTGATACACGATGAAGAGGATGCTGGAGGTGATGCTGGCCAGCCACACCACCACGATGATGGTGATGGCGCGCTGCGTGGTCATGATGCTGTGATAGCGCAGCGCGTAAAAGATGGTGATGTAGCGGTCCGCGGCGATGGTGCACAGGAAGGAGAGCGACGACACCACGGAGCTGCAGATCATCACGTCGATGACGTTGTCCAGGTGGCGCAGCATGCCGGGGTGCACGTCCATGAGGCCGTGGTCGTTGAGGAGCATGAACATGGTCTCCACCACGTTGCTGACGCTCACCAGCATGTCGGACACGGCCAGGCAGCAGATGAAGTAGTACATGGGCGAGTGCAGGTTGCGGTTCCTGATGATGGCCAGAATCACCAGGATGTTCTCCACCAGGCTGATGACTCCCAGCGCCAGGAAGAGCTCCTGGGGGATGCGGATCTGAACGCAGCCCAGCAAGTTTTGATCACCGACCGTGGAGTTGGTTTCGTTGTCATCCATGAAGTCATTTAGCGGGCCGAGCTCCACGTGGAGGATGGAGGGGTAATGCACTGACCTGTTGGTCATCTCCATGTCCGAATCCTTGGTGATAGATGTGCAGGCTGTCTGTTGAACTTCAGAGTCAAACTTCAGGAAGTTTCATCAGTTGTCTCGGCAGGTAGGAGGATGCTTCGGCATCAGCTGTTCAGACTTTGCCGCTCAGCCAGAAGCAAAAATAAAAATAAAAAATCCAGACAGCTATTTGATTGTGAAGCCCATCAGGGCATTGACAGCTCACAAAGCGTCTCTAGCAGCTTTATGAAATGTAATTTACATTGATTTAAGTCATTAAAGAGTCCAGATAACTCTTCGTGGCTTGTGGGGAAAAGTCCAGTTTACGCAGCACAGCGGTCCGTGGAGAGATGGCGCGTCTCCTCACCCAAGTCTTCTTCTGTCTTATTCATGCACAACGTCCTGTCGGGAGATCAACGAAATGTGCTGCTCCATCAAAACGTAGCAGATGATGATTTTTTACTGTCATTCTGCTCCTAATCCGTCTGTCCGCAGCAGCTCACACTGTTCTGACCAACATGCTGAGATCCAACTAAGACTGCGGCACCTCGTGCGTTAGAGGGTGACTTTCTGGAGCAGTTCTCAAAGTGATGTTAGATTCTGAAGGACTTCAGGCGGCTCCTCCTCTCACACAAACGTCAGCTGGGCTGTGGTCCTGTCTTGCACAGTGTTAGAAAAAAAAAAAACACAAGGCACCGGGGAGCTGATTTCAGATGTTTTCTCCCTTTATGACAATCTTATAGCTTTATGAATGTGGTTTACATAATAGCAACGAGCAGCGTTAGATTGTCTCCACTTTGACGCACAAAGAGCAGCAGCACTTGATCATTCACTTTTTCTGTCCATTCTGTCTAAAGGATTAATCTCAAGAAATCCTGCATTTATTAAAGAATCCACATGTGCACTGAAAATGGTTTTAGTTGCTGCAAGTATTTAGTGTGAAACATTCCCATCTAAAGAAGGAATACCTGCTGAAAAATGACTTGAACATGAAGCCTGCAGTTTAAACTAGGTCATCGTTTCAGAGGCCATCTTTATGTTCAGAGCAGAACCACCTCTTTGTGTTTTCATGTTTACTTGCAGAGTCAAAAGGACAGCAACACTATCCACTTGACTCGTTAAACCCAGATGGCCGAAGCCTTAACATGAACCTCGGCTGAAGTTTGGAATGCATCTTTAACACAAATCAAGGCCCGAGCGTTGCCTCCATCCCTTACACTGAAAATACCAGCGTGTTAGTGGCAATTACAGAGAAGGAATCACAGTCATACTTTTTAGGTTTACATTGAGGCGTATCAATGCAGCTCTTAAACCAACACAAAAATATGAACACAGGGTTCAATTTAACTCCAGATTTCCGCGTTTTTACTCAAACAGCTCTTAGCAGTGATCTGAAAAATCTGTAATTCATGTCGACACTTCCTTCCCTGAGGCACTCGGCACTTCAAGGCACTGACAATAAAGCCGTTTGTGACTTGGACGGAGGGAAGAAGCTGAAGCGAGCGCAGCATCCATACATGAAGCTTTCAAACCTTGTGACAAATGAAGTGTAATTGACCTCTGAAAAAAAAAAAAATGTAAGTGGAACGACCTACTTGGCTATTTTTCATCTGTTGCTCAAGGGCTGGATCAGAGAGCAGACTAGTTTGCAAATCCTTTTTTTTTTTTTTTTTCTTATCATGAATCAGTGTTTAACCAACAACAGTTCATAGATCACAGCCAAGTTTAAGCAGTATATTTAAAAAGTTCTTTAAATAAGTTAGACAATGAAAAACAATCACTTTAAACTATGAACTAGTTTTAACTTCAGCAGCTAGATGTCGTTAGACTCGAGATGTGATGGCACGGCACATGGAGACCGACAGCAGAGTTTGAGGAGATCTTTAAAAGCGATCTGTTAAATAAAAGCTTACAAATTGTGGGCTGCACGGTGGAGCAGTTGGTAGCACTGTTTCCTCGCTGCAAGAAGGTCGCTGGTTCGCGTCCCGGTGAGGACACCCAGGATCTTTCTGCGTGGAGTCTCCATGTTCTCCCCGTGCAGCGTGGGTTCTCTCCAGGTTCTCCAGCTTCCTCCCACAAAGTCCAAAAACATGTTGAGGTTAATTGGTGATTCTAAATTGTCCGTAGGTGTGAATGTGAGTGTGCTTGGTTGTCTGTCTCTAAGTGTAGCCCTGTGATAGACTGGTGACCTGTCCAGGTGAACCTGTCTTCACCCTGAGTCAGCTGGGATAGACTCCAGCCCCCCATGACCCCAGTGAGGATTAAGCGGTGTATAGATAATGGATGGATGACTTTCAAATTGTACTTGGAGGTGCTATTTTTTCTTTTTTTTTTCAGATGTAGACCAAAGACTTTATTTAGAAGTTACGGAGTTTGCAAAAAATGCATCATGGGGAACTAGTTTAATCATCAAAGAATGTACAAAGAGTTATTTTTAAGCAAAAAGATCAAGCTTTTTCTTTTTTTTTCTTTTTAAAGCCACATTCTGCTACAACCAGATACACTTTGGGCTCTGAAAACTTGCACTGGGCTGTTTTTGCAAACTGTTCTCTAGATTATTAATATAATGAAATACTAAAACAATCATCAGTTGCAGGCCTACGTTTATCTTCACCTGTTTACATCTTTTTATCATCGTGCTTTTTTAAAAACATTTTTTATTATATATAAGCTAGCTAAAAAAACACCAAAAATTCTTTTAATGTAGTTGAGGAGGATAATTGTATTCAGTCGATTTAGTAACCGCTGACATTTTGATGACCAGTACGGTCTTGACTAATCGTCTGCGAGGCTGACTGGAGTCACAGCATCTGAGGCACGGATCTAAAAGCCTTTCTATACAGCAGCGGGATCACATGAAGACATCTCACAACCTCAACCATAGCTCCAGGTGATTTAGAAACAATGACCTCGTTTGACCATCGAGCACAGTCACGGCCATCATGTGGCTCGCTGAGCAACAAAGTCAGTGTATGGCAGCTGCAGTATGTGTTGAGGGTGATCGATATCTCCAGAGTTTATGTTCCCCTTTCAGCTGTGAAGTTGGCCTTGATGTTGGCTCTTTATTATTTAGCACTTTGAGTGACTACAATAGTTTTAATTGTGAACAGAAAATGGGTGCATAAAAAAATAGGCTGCATATGATGTCGTTGTGGGATTTTTAGTTTAAGAGGCTTGACAGTAAGATGAAAATAGGAAGCAGCACCACAGAGATGATCATCTGGTAAAAGACGAGCGAAACGCTTGGATGACGGTGCAAAATAATAAGCGTAGGTTAGAAAAGCGAATATTTCCTCGGTGCCAGCACAGTTAAGAGACTCAGCGTGAAGCGAATGAGCCACCGCTGAGGGAAGTCACGAGTGTCTGAGTGAGAGAGAGCAGAGGAACAATTCAGTTAGAAAATATCTGCCATGCTCTTGGGCCCAATATAACGTGATGGACAGCAGCAGACTTCTGGAAAAAGTTTTAGCCAATTTTCTGCGCTGCTTTATAAGGTTGCCACGAGTAACTGAATAGTGGCACGTCAAATGAAACTGAAATGTTGGAATCTGTCCCCAGCAGAGCGAGACAGGGAGAGAGCATAGCAGAGCAGAAAAACAGCAGAAATGCTGTATTTGGACATGATTAAAATAATGATTGAGCTCAGGAAATGCCTCAATTATCAAAGGTGAAGACTGAACATAAATCAGATTTATGGGAAATAAAACCTGAATGAATCCTGAAGGGGGCTGCAAGGTGGACCAGTGGTTAGCATCGTTGCCTCGCAGCAAGAAGGTCGCCAGTTCGCGTCCCGGTGAGGACACCCGGGATCTTTCTGTGTGGAGTTTGTATGTTCTCCCCGTGCAGCGTGGGTTCTCTCCAGGTTCTCCAGCTTCCTCCCACAAAGTCCAAAAACATGTTGAGGTTAATTGGTGATTCTAAATTGTCCGTAGGTGTGAATGTGAGTGTGCTTGGTTGTCTGTCTCTAAGTGTAGCCCTGTGATAGACTGGTGACCTGTCCAGGTGAACCTGTCTTCACCCTGAGTCAGCTGGGATAGACTCCAGCCCTCCATGACCCTAGTGAGGATTAAACGATCGATGGATGGATGGATGGATGGATGGATGGATAGATAGATAATCAGGGCACCTTCCACTCTTTTCTTAAATGCATCCACAATAGAAGCAGTTTCCAAAAGGATCTTAAGATTTAGTTAATATTTGTCCCATTTGGATTTAGCAGCTTTTTCTATCCATCCGTCCATCCATCATCTATACACCACTTAATCCTCACTAGGGTCATGGGGGGCTGGAGTCTATCCCAGCTGACTCAGGGTGAAGGCAGGGGACACCTGGACAGGTAACCAGTCTATCACAGGGCTACACTTAGCGACAGACAACCAAGCACACTCACATTCACACCTACGGACAATTTAGAATCACCAATTGACCTCAACATGTTTTGGACTGTGTGGGAGGAAGCTGGAGAACCTGGAGAGAACCCACGCTGCACGGGGAGAACATGGAGACTCCACGCAGAAAGATCCCGGTCAGCTTTTTCTAATTGAGTTCATTGCATCATTTTTTTTAGCAGTCAGATAATTCATGTTTTAGGTGCACAGTCACTATAAAGTGCTGTAGTGGAACCTTCCTGTATTTTGAAACCTTCTTTGCTAAGTCGGTAGAAAAGTCTGACAAGTGAAAAGCTTCACATGAATTGATTTTTAACTGATTCTCTTTACTTAACATGTATTTTTTATTATTATTTTTTTTTACATTGCAGTAAAGTTTGTACAAGATGATGATGATTACAGCAAACCTGCAAAAATACGTTTCTTTACAAATGCATCTCTCCTGAACGTTTGGGAGGATGTGAGTCAGCAGCAGGTCATAAATTAACGACTCGTTTTCTGTGAAGATAATAAAAGACCTGAAGGCAGGTTCGACTTACCGAATGCGTGTCACAACAAAACAGGCTGATATTCAATTTGGAAAAACGGGATTACCGGATTTTTAAAAAGCCTTTCTGGGCTGTGTATTAAACAATTACACATTTTCATATTCAAGTAAAGCAACAAGCGTGTTCAACGTAATAGTTAAAGGCTTCATTTTTACCCTTTGCACTTCAATGCACTGATTTTCCCAAAGATGTGTTTTAAGCGACAGGAGTCAATAAAAACATTTGTTTTTTGCTGATTCTGTGGCAAAAAAAACCCCGATTTGTACTAAAGTGCTGCCAAAGCAAGGTTTTGGATTCGTGATAAACAACTTCTATTGAACATAAGAACAGTTTGAACCTCATAAAGCTGTCCACGGTGTGAACATGAAAAACTCAGTTAGAAAAACCAGAGAAAGACGAGTAACACTCACTGATGTTACCTCACGATGGCTTGAGATGCTGGAACTAATAAAACTGTCGACCCTGGAGACCAAACTGACTGTTTTCTGACAATGGAATGAAGCTACTCGTGTTCACAAGTGTCTGGATTGCAGAATATTTCCCAGAACTTTTTTTTTTTTTTTAATCAGTGAGTTTAGTATTCTGAAATTATGACAATTAAAAAAACACCATTCAGCCGTCCCACTTCACCTCCTCTCAATCAGGAACACCATTAAAGTTTCTTTGTCTATTTCATGTCGATCTTTTCAGCACTTATTCCACCTCTGCCTCTCCTCTCTCCTCTCAGTCCCATTCCTCCTCGTCTCTGTAGGGGTTGTCCTCCCTCGGTGGCTCCTGAAACCGGATGTTTGCCAGCATGTCCCTCATTGCCACCATTAGGCGATTCAGTTCCTGGTTGAGTTCCTGTCCGGCTCGAGCCACTTCCATGCCATCCTCCTGCCTGGGTGCACCCTTAAGGATGAAGGAGACGTAAATTCATTAAACATTTCTGGAGTCTATGCGCCGTCTACTTCAGCCGTCTCAAACAGACATTTCTTTCCGTTTGAATGCCCTTAACATTCTTACATCTGTGGAATCCGTTTAGGTTCTGGCTACCCAGCGCAGCAGTTACTGACTTCTGTGATCGTTTTTCTTATATTTGATTATCTTAAGTGGATTTTACGAAATTCAGCAACGCAGGCTCAACAGTCTCACCTCACTGGAAGCACTTAGCGGTGCCCTGACGTACTGAATGAGACAGAAATAACACATCAATACCAACTTAAAGCCGTGTTATGAAACTTAACATGACGTTGTTTTGTTGTGTATAACTGTATTTTAAGACTAAAAAGAACAATTTGGACGTAGATCTTTTGTCGTCTTAACTACGTTTCTTTTATCCTTACTGTATCTCTTCCTCTCCATAAGTGGATAACGTGATCAGGATGGATGGGACAGTCCTGATGGAAAGATGCCTCGGGCACATCTGTTTAACAATAAGCATGTGCCGTATGGCTGACTCACAGGACGCTCAGCTGTATGTGTGGCTGCACCTTATGCACGCATCTTAATGCAGCGGTGGCTGCTTTCTGAAGCGTCGATGATGACAAAATGTATTACGTTTATGATCCTCTGAGCACACACCGTTCCACGATAAGCACCTCAGTCATCGTAAAATTGTTAATGCCCTCTTGTTTAACCTTGTTTGGACAAAAAAACAGATTTATTCTGCGCTCGGCGTGGCACCTGCAACATCCTTTAACAGCATCAAGTCGGCCTCAAGTCTGTACATCAGCCACCCGTCATAACGTGGAACATGTCAGACTGTACGTACATTTAAATTTATTCCTCGGTTGAAGTTTTGTGTCTTGAAAAACAAAACAAACCGAAGTAAGTTCAGTCCTTTTGGTAAATGGTCTGCACTTATACAGCGCATTTCTACCTTTGCGGCACTCAAAGCGCTTTACAGTGTTTCTCATTCACCCATTCACACACACATTCATACACCAATGGCGACAGAGCTGCCATGCAAGGCGTTAATCTGCCATTGGGAGCCATTTGGGGTTCAGTGTCTTGCCCAAGGACACTTCAGCATGTGGGGGGAACCGGGGATCGAACCGCCAACCTTGCCATCAGTGGACAACCCGCTCTACCACCTGAGCCACAGCCGCCCATTTATTAAATAAATAAATCCTCAAATGCAGCTTTAAATGTGCAAAATAGCCCCTATATTATCTACAAGCTGTGAGGATTTGTACTTTCTGACGTCGTGTTAAACATTTTAACAAACACATCATGCATGAATCTGAGGGTCCAGAAGCTTCACATGAATGTTCTCACAGTTTCCTGGAGAAACTCGACGTTTGCACAGTTTTGATGATTTTTTCTGTCAGTCCTTTTGTTGCCCTCAGTGCATTCATCCAATCCCATCTTACTGTACATATACTGTACATCTCCTTTTGTTGATACCCTGAGATGGTTCACATGTCAACGCTTATCCAATTTTAACTGTCGTTTCAAAAAATTAGATCCACAATCTGATATTTCTACCCAATGATACTAAACCTTTTAGGTTGTAGCACAAAGCACATGAACTCATTTCATATCACGCTCATCCCAGCTTGCATGAATACCAGGCTGTGTGTGAAGCGGTGCACGGCCTCTTCATTTAGACGGTTGGTGAAACCACCGACTCTTCACACAGCTTCCTATTGTGTCAGAAGAACACGTCAGAACCAAACCACTGTGGGAGAATGCATATTCACATCGCTCTTTATTTCTAAATCCCTTAAGCACTGAAGCTCTTGTCCATTTTGCTGCACTTCCTTCTGTCGTTTCTGACATCAGCTCAGTGTTGGTTTATTTTACTGTTAGAGCGAAACTTGACAAAAATGCAGATCAGTTGATGTTCAACAGGTCCACAGTCTTGAAGGAAGTTTATTTTTTATTATCAGTCATCTATATAATTGAGGTTGGCCTATAATAAGGTTAAAAATCGCCCTCTTCTTACGCTGCAGTTGCTCCTCCGCTACAACCACTTGGTAGGATTTAGTCAGACTTCAGCTGATGCATAAAATCCTTCAAAGATAATTTCTATTCAGGAAATGTAATGAAAGTCTTATTAGTGTCAAATAAAAGTGCGTGTCTAATTTTAGACAAATGCCAACGGTGATAATAACAATAAAACTGCTTTGCTCAGTGAAGAAGCAGCGAGAATTAATGTGTTGTGATGAAACGCCGTAAAATGCATGTTAACAGTTACCGGCGGGGAGAGCTATCAGCGCTGTGTTTGTCGGTCTGAAAGGAACACTTCACGTTCCATTAGACCTGGACCTGAAAATGATAACAGTGCGTCTCGGCGTTCTGCACCACCATCAACATGTGTTTGTCGCCATATGGTCTTTCTGTACATTGCTCTCTTTCACACAATCTCGGCCAAATCACAGTCTATTCTGAGGGCACAAGGAGAAAGCAAATATTGTGAAATAAATGAGCGGAAAGGGCAAACACTCATTTGTTGCCGAGGACGGCGCGACTCAAGGAGGGTTAAGGATTATCCTCATGACGGAAGATTGCTGTTTCATTTATGTAATAAAGCCGTCTGACACTTGAAACGATTTCAAAATCAAACTCTAATTAACCAAACAAGTTCCAGAAACACTTTCTCACTAATGTCTGCTCCAGTAAAACTTCTCCCAAGTTCAGGAGGATAAACACTGCACGCTGCACATCATGCCGTCTGTGTCTTTCGCATGCAGATTGCTTCCCTTCAGCATTTCTAAATGTAGTTTATGCTGCAGGGTGAACTGCACAGTGAGGCAGTTGTTGATCTCAAAGGTTGGGTGTGAGCAGAAAAATGGAACACGCTCAACTAGCACTAGACATGTTCCAAACATGTTGCTCTTGTGACGACAAGGGACATTCGAAATGTGCAACAATCATCATGGGAGCGCGAAACCATGGACTCGCTTCTATAAATTGACCCTGCAAATCAATATTGAATGACTAGAAGCATGAAACGACATCATCGTTATGATTAGCAAAGAAAAAGCAAAGCCACTGACAACTTTACACTTTGTGAACGTTGTTTTCTTCTGAGCGGACACTGTGGGAAATGGCAAACAGAATGAACTGTAACAGGGTCATATGCCTTCTTTGATATTTTTCAGTTACATGGCCTTGGGGGTAACCATGAGTCCTTGGAGGAAATATTCCATCTGCCACGGATGTGTTAAGTTGTTTTCCTCGATCTTTTACCAGTTCAGATCTTTCCCAGCAAGCCTGCAGGGCGCTGCTACTAAATGGGTGTATCTGTGTGTTATTTTAGTAGCAGCTGAATAGAAAACCAGGATATGAAATGACTGTGTCTGCCTTCGGGTGGGGGGGCGTTGAACTGAACCGTGTTACATGACCACGCCTCCAGCTCTGGAGGTCAAACAATTGTCATAAAAACCTGTCAGAGCCTAATGTCAGCCAACTTTATCAAGCTACTGCCGCCACTGATGAACCTACGATTTGTTAAAAGGTTTTGTCTGTAGGGCTGACACATGGCGTCTCCACATGCACACCATGGGTTCGTTAATAGTGCTTTTCTGTTATTCGCCATCTGTGCAGACGTCTTCGTGACACCAGTAGACTTTGCTCTTCAGCTTTGTTCAGATTATTCAGGTTTAAAGTGCATTTGCTCTCTGAAGATTTAAAGCAACTGTAGTACAGTCGTGACTCGATAATCCGACCCTTAACAATCCTAAACCTTGCTATCCGACAGGCTTTTAGGAAAAACCAACAGAACCCATAAAAAACAGCCTTAACATACCGACAGCCTTGGATTCAGATTCCAACATGACATTTAATGTCACCAATCAAGATAACGGCGTATTATCTGACTGAACAATCCCACAGATTGGCTACGTTCACACTGCAGGACTTGATGTTCAGTTTGGATTTTCTTGTGAAATCTGATTTTTTTGTGAGTTTGTTCACATTTCCAGTTAAATGCGACTTGTATGTGATCTGCTGTGTGAACTTCATACGACGCAAAAGTGTCCCACATGCACAGAAGAGGACACGACGACGTCACACGCAGCGAGCGTGCTCAGTGTTTACGGAAGTAAACATGGATGGTAACGGTGGAGCGTATCTGCCACTCCCCCGCCGCCACCGATGGTGGAAACAGAAGTGTGAGCGCTAGCTAAACTAGCATCAGCAGCCAAGTACTGCCTGTGCGTTCCACCCTGGGGGAGCACTCTGATGGGGTGAAAGTGTCCCCCGACCGCGCCGAATGTTCGGATATTCATCATTAATTGGGCCTGAACATCCAGAGACCAGAAAGTGCTATTGGGACCAGCCCTACTAGTTATTATAACAACTATAAACAACAAATATTAACAACTAATGAGCCTTCCAGCACCAAGCCCTCCTCGTATCTCAACCTCCGTCTTGACAATCCGACAGCCTTGCTATCCGACATAGAAGAAGGTTTTACATTTAGAGTCAGATTATTGAGTCACAACTGTACTCGCTTGGTACAAGTACGTCTTTTCGTAAAACTAACCCAGAACTCTTGTTTTGCACCATAGAACCCTAAATTAATTAATTGTCCCTACCAGACCTATTTCCATGTCACTCACCTGAAGGTTGAAGTTTGGCAGCAAAGACCGGAGAAACAGTGATAACGTGCTCTCATTGGACGCGCCAGCATGCTGCCTAAACGTGGAGAACACAATGAACCAAAATGTCTTTATGTTTGAGGTTATGAAGCATGTTTTTAACAGCTGAATGTTCCAGCGGGCCTTTCATTACCTCTCTGGACGGGTATATGACATCACTGAGTCCAGAGGAGGCAGAGGGTCAAAACTCATCACGGGTTGAGTGGTCACCTCCTGAAGGCATCAAACAAACATATGAGTTCAGAATTACTTCCACATAGATGCACGAGTTCAGAGACACATCATTAATACAGAAGTGTGGAGCATAAAAACCAGATATGGAACCAAGTTATCTGGGGAACTTTGCTGTCCCAACATAAGAAATGAAACACTCTGGACAATATGTGAGGTACAATCAATTTCTGATCATCAGATTTGTTAGGAAGGATGATTTTGTTAACATCCAGGATTGGTTGACTGCTGATGCTGTTACTAATATATTTTGCCACCTAATTTCAGACAATATTCGACCACTTATTGTCGTGTAATTAATGTATTACTATGCCTACTGTTATTGTGATGGCACGCTGGCAGGTGCAGAAATAAAACACAACACTTTTCAAATGTACAGTGTCACTACACAGCAACATTTTCATCCTGTCTGCCTGTCAAAGTCCACACAAATGATGATGCTGAGGTCCCCCTTATCTGCTGTGTGAAAGAGAGAAAATGGAAAAGTGCGTTTTCTGTCGTCTTTTCTTACTAGAGGCAGACTTGAGGTGGCTTCTTTGATCTCAGAGAGGAGGACGTGGCGATGGATGTTCCTCGGTGCACTCTGGTACCTCTGCTTTCTCCTAGAACAAAGTTGTCAAGGTGAAAGCTGCAATCCAGTTTTCTCAACAGCATGTGAAGCATCAGCCCCTATCACATCTACACCAGCAGCTCCATATGCTAGCACGTTTGGTTCATGTATCGTTTTTAGTTTGCTCATCGTTGTCATTAAAGAACTCTTCTGTTGCCCACAATGTAAAATTTGGCAAAAACGTGACTGATGGCATCGGAGCAGATTGGTAACGTCTTACTTGTTTTGGCAGTCTTCAACTAGAGGATCTTTGGCATCAACTCGACACAGCACCTCCTTCACAGACTCTTCCAACCAAAGCATTACTGCTGCCTCCCTCCACAGGTTGTACGTTCTGCCAACGTACAGAGCTGTGAGTTCAGCCAGAGCTGGGGGCTGCCTAGAAACAAGGAGGAAGTAAAATGAGCATTAAAATTAGGTTAGAAGAGGAGGAGGAGGAGAAAAACATTTCAGAAAAACAAAATTGACACAGATATGCACTAACATTAAAAGGCCAATGAAAGATTTATAGAAATTGTACAATTTTGTTTTAGATAATTGTTGCACGTTCAGACAGAAAGACAAATTATAATAGGATATTTTAATTTTTAAAAAGAGTCCATTTTTATGGAAAAATGCCACCTTATGCAGTTCAGTCATGACTCGATAATCCGACACTAAATGTAAAACCTTCCTTTATGTCGGATAGCAAGGCTGTCGGATTGTCAAGACGGAGGTCGAGATACAAGGAGGGCTTGATGCTTGAAGGATCATTTGTTGTTAATATTTATTGTTCATAGTTGTTATAATAACTAGTGTATTGTTAGAACACTACGCATCGCTGGGTTTCAGCCTAATTGACCGGTGTGATTGTGCACAGGCCGTCGGTTGACATCAAAGGTAAATACGTTCAGACAGCAGGCTGAAGTGACCCAAATCCGATTTTCTTTCTCCTATGCGACCTGTATCTGATCTTCTCATTACAGTTTGAACAACACAGATCTGATTAATGATGACAATCTGAATATTCTGCGGGGTTGGGGGGATCACTTCCCCCCCGGGGGAGCGCTCTGATGGGGTGGAAGTGGCCGGAACACACAGGCAGTACTTGGCTGCTGATGCTAGTTTAGTTAGTGGTCACACTTCTGTTTCCTCCATCGGTGGCGGCGGGGGAGTGGCAGATACACTCCACCGTTACCATCCATGTTTACTTCCGTAAGCACTGAGCACGCTCGCCGTGTGTGACGTCGTCGTGTCCTCTTCTGCGCATGCGGGACACTTTTGCGTCATATGAAGTTCACACAGCAGATCACATACAAGTTGCATTTAATTGGAAATGTGAGCGAACTCACAAAGAAATCAGATTTCATGGAAAAATCCTCATTGAGCATGAAGTCCTGCAGTGTGAACGTAGCCAATCTGTGGGATTGTTCAGTCAGATAATACGCCGTTATCTTGATTGGTGACATAAAATGTCATGTCGGAGTCGGAATCCAAGGCTGTCGGTATGTTAAGGCTGTTTTTAATGGGTTCTGTTGGTTTTTCCTAAAAACCTGTCGGATAGCAAAGTTTTCAGATTGTTAAGGGTCAATTATCGACTGTACTTTAGAAACCAAAGAGAGCACAACTCACCCTAACTGACTCTTTGGGCCAAAGAAGCTGTGAGCGGTGACTGTTGCATCTGGCTGCACGGTGCACAGATCCAGTAAAGGCATCAAGACTGTACAAGACAAAATTTGCAGAAACATAAGGAGGTGAAAACACAAACATACAGTGTGCTGTGAAGGTTAACAATCCCTGCTATAGTATAGACATTATTTTATTATGCCTTTAACTATGTGAAGAAGTGGCTAAGGCACTCTTATAACCACATATTTCTATACTAGTGGCAGCAGTTCATTTCCAACCTCCAGGAAACATGATGAGAGCATCCTGCAGCATGAGGTCAGCTTTCTGTCTTTGTTTTTCACTTTCTTCAGTGTCCATATCTTCCTGCTGACTGAGATGGAAATGGCAAAGTGCAGAGGAGAACGCAAAGTTTGGCAGCTGAGACAGATTTCTGTGCTCCTGAAAAGCAAAAGCAAAGAATTGTCAGACCAGAATTAGAGGCAGCATACTAAAATGCACACATTGCAAATAACTGGCACATGAAGCCACACTTTACCTCCCAGTCCTGGTACAACTGAAGGAGAGACTGGTACTCTCGAGAGCGCAGCGTCAGGAAATCAATGAGCAGGAGCATGCACAGTGGGTCGGAGTCTGGGTCCAAGCTGGTAAGAGTGAGACAAAACCACCGGGATTGTGAATACGTGACCAAAAGGATGCTCAAACTAAGTAGAATGAAACACTTCAGGGTGGAACACTAAAAACAATACTCTGGCTTCACAAAGCAGCGCTGCTTATCGCTAACATTTAGCTTCAACACAAATCTTCACACTTTTGGATTAAATAAATAAGACATCAGAAACCAGATAGAGCCAAAACACCACTCCTCTGCTATTTGCTTTCAGAACGAACTGTGAAGCTTCAGCAGCTGAAATAACCATTCAGTGGCTCCAAGTTCTCAGTCTGCTGCACACAATGACATTTAAATGAGCACTTTTTTTATTTTTTTAGGTTTCCTTCAAAACTCAGGACAACATGTTTCTCACTATTTATTCATTTGTGATGATAACGAATACAGTTTGTAAAGGGAGTTTCATTGTAGTTAAACAGTGATTTACTCACTGCTGGTGGGAGAGGGACAGTCATCGGTTGCTATTTCCATACTCCTACTTTACAACGGACCAGAACAACATAGTTGTCATAAAGTCAGGAAGCCGGAGTTTGATGAAAATCATAGATAAACACTGACCGGTACACGCCAGGCAGTGAAGCTGAAGCTAAGCTCACGCAGTCTAACGGCAGCAGTGTGTGGGAACAGCTTTTATGTAAGTGATATCTTTACTGGGGGTTGTATGTTATGTAATGACACATAAACACATACACTGATTGTTTTTGGATTAAATTACCGTGTAAATGATTTTTATCACGTGTGTGATCTCGGTCAAACGCATCACCCTACATTAGACCACAGTGCACACACTACTCATGCTATATGGTTGTTTTTGTGTTTCAAACTTAGTTCAGTACAGTACGTTATCATTTCAACATTTAAACACAGTTTAACGGTTTCTTTTCCTTTTTCTCAGCTGTATATGTTTTTGTTTGTTTAAAAAAAAAAAAAAAAACCCTCCATAGACGATAACAATTGAAGAGAGTCGTGGCAGTTATAACAAATAAATAGACGATGTCCCGTTTAGACTGTAAGGCTATAAAAACAAATCATAGTCAGAGGCAGGACGGCGCTGTGTCGCTGATAGAAAAGATTATTGCAACAATAAGGGTAGCATCGACTCCCATCTTTTAGTAAAGATGGTTTCCTGAAGTTTCCTGGAGGGACTATGTCTCCCAGCTTGCCTGGGAACGCCTAGGGGTCCCCCCGGAAGAGCTGGGGGAGGTGTGTGCGGATCGGGAAGTCTGGGCGGCTTTGCTAAGGCTGCTGCCTCTGCGACCCGACTCTGGATAAGCGGGAGAAGATGGATGGATGGATGGATGGTTTCCTGAAGTCTTAGTGAGAATGTGATCTGCTCCATTTGATAAATATCCCAGACGTCTTGAATCCATGTGTTGTGTGAGGGAGGTTCTGGTTTCAACCATCTGATGGTTGTGGACTTTAAGTGGTTTGGACATTCAAAAGGTATTTATCTGCCCTCCTGTCCAGACCCTCAGGTATTACCCCCAGCACCGCCACTGCAAGATTTTGCGGGATGCTCATTTTACAAACCTCCTTCAGGGTTTTGAAAACCTCCCTCCACAATACACACTGAACTTCAGACAGAGCCAAAATTTCCATCCATAATCTATACACCACTTAATCCTCACTAGGGTCGCGGGGGGCTGGAGTCTATCCCAGCTGACTCAGGGTGAAGGCAGGTTCACCTGGACAGGTAACCAGTCTATCACAGGGCTACACTTAGAGACAGACAACCAAGCACACTCACATTCACACCTACGGACAATTTAGAATCACCAATTAACCTCAACATGTTTGTGGACTGTGTGGGAGGAAGCCGGAGAACCCAGAGAGAACCCACGCTGCACGGGGAGAACATGCAAGAAAGATTCCGGTGCCCCCACTGGGACGCGAACCGGCAACCTTCTTGCTGCGAGACAACAGTGCTACCAACTGCGCCACCCTGCAGCCCGAGCCAAAATATGTGGGTGTGATGAGCTATATGGGCTCCACAGTTCCTCCAGCATGAACCGGGATATTGTGGACCCATCCTGGACTCTATTGCTGGAGTTCTAAAATATCTAGTCATTATTTTCCATTTGAATTCTGTCCATGGGTCAGAATTTGTAACCAGACGGGCCTCGGTACATACATCCTGAGATATGTCCACGTTGGCCTCCCCCTTATCTCTGATGAGTTGTTTTGATTCATAGATAAGAGTATATTGTATAGTTTGGAAATTATTTTCATGCTCTATAATCACTTTAAACCTTAATAAATGGGCAAAAGTGTTGGTAAGTCTTTAAAACGCCACAACATCAGTGAAGAAGCACCGATAAGACGTGTGGAAATCGGCTCTATTTTATTTGATAAAACATTTTGAGGGGAACATCTTTGATGAGTAGAAATCCTCACCACATTGAAATAAATAAAAAGGAACCGAATAGAGCTGGTGGTAGCAGAATAATAATAATAAAAAAATTAATACTTGAGTTAACGGTCCTTGAAGAATATCTTGTGGTGGAAACTTTATTCAGGAAAATAAAGTTCTTTTTGTTTAGCGAGTACGCCATGTGATCATCACGTAATATTTTCAATTTCTTGACAAATAAAGAAGCTAAAGAGACAACCGAGACACACTAAAATTTCCACCTTCCTTGTTTCTGTAGAAATAGACTGCTAAACAGACGTGAACAGAGTAGTTAGTCAGTAGAAGACCAGCCGTGTCATGACCGTAACTAACACCTGACTCACGCTGCAGGAGTTCAGCATCATAACACGTTCTGAAAAATTGGCTTGAACAAGGAGGAGCTTCACAGATGTTCATGGTTCTAATGTCAGACATGCACGCCACAAGATTGGAAGATAACAGTGGATCACGCACGGCAGGATGTTAATGAGACGATCACGGCAGAGGTGCAATCAGTGAGCAGCGTATCAGCTAACGGGGAAGCAAATGTACAGAAAATGGAGACTGTGGTGCAACAACTGGCTGTAATGCTAACAGTAATGAGGAAAAAAAGCAAAAGGATAAATGAGTCTGGATGAGAAGATGGTTGGGAAGATGTTGTTAAACATGGTCTGCCTGTTCTTCAGTGAGAACAGGATGGGCGATTTTAACGTTAGCCTCAAGAGCTAGAATGGCTGCTGTTGCCCATCAACAGTGTCTGCTGGTCCAGGCCATAGCGTGACAATCATACCCATCGCGATTTAAACTCGTAAATATCAAACATATTCGAATCTATCTGGGCGAACCCAGTTTTCTGACTGGATCTCCTCACATCACTGAACAATCTGGGCCAAATACTGGTCAGGTCTCTGAAAACTTGTGTCCCCCAACGCTCAACCTTCTGTCTCAGTACCTCAGGATTAGTTTGCAGTACTCCAAAGCCGTCCGCGGGCATCCTCTCTTCTCCAGGAACATCATGTGCTTGTAAAGAGCCAGATAAAATGCTCTGCAAACAAGGATTATTGAATCACTGAATGCCGAGGCCATAAAACATAATTTAAGTGAGTCTAGAATCCGACTGATGCGTTACAAAAACGAGACGCGTAGTAAAGAAACCACCAACCTGTTTTCTGGTCTCAGATAATCCAGTCTGCTGGCCCCTGATGTCAGACTGAATAACGGATGAAAAGCACACTCAAAGCTGTACAGGGCCCTCTCTGGAGAAAAAACACAAAGGAATCAGTTTTTATGTACATGTGCAACAACAGAGAATAAAACAATGTTACTGGGGAAACGGTATAAAGTGTGCAGGTGCTTTGTCAGTAATGTTGTTTTCACATAAAATCCACTCATCAGCAAGGGTCTGAATTCTAAAAATACAACAACTAAACACCACTGTTCCCCTTGGCTTTTAATAATGAATCATTCACAGAGGGATGTAGAGACAAATGGCCTTTGTAGAATGACCCCTCTGGTCTTCTGCATACACTGTTTTAGATAACTGGTTTAGGAACACGCCTGTGATAATAAACATAGCATTGTACTTTGTCTGAACCATGATCGTTGTTAACAGTGGTGGGTTTGTTGATTCACAGTTTCCAAAGCACATAATAAGCACTAAAATAACTACATTTAATAAGCTTCATAATAACAAAAAGAAAAAGGGATCAGCAATGATTTGACAACACTTTTGGCTCAAGTCATTCTAAGAAGTCCTCTGCTGTAGCAACATGCTGGAAAACAAAGTCACCGAAACATAATAGAAAGTAGCTGCCCATTGAACAACAAATCTAATATGAGATTGGCTTAAATGCTTTAAATAATCAACTTATTTTTTGCTGATTTTACAGATAATTTCTCTGTTAAACATCAAGGATGCCTGATCACACATATCAACATGTAATGAAGTTCAGTCGCGACTCAATAATCTGTCTAAATAAAAAAACCTTCTTTTATGTCGGATAGCAAGGCTGTCGGATTGTCAAGACGGAGGTCGAGATACGAGGAGGGCTTGATGCTGGAAGGCTCATTTGTTGTTAACATTTATTGTTTGTAGTTGTTATAATAACTGGTGTATTGTTAGAACACTACACCATTGGATTTCACGCCTAACTGACCAGTGCGCTTGTGCACGTTCTGGCCACTTCTACCCCGGGGGAAGCGCTCCGACGGGGTGGAAGTGGTCGTAACGCACAGGCAGTACTTGGCTGCTGATGCAAGTTTAGTTAGCGCTCACACTTCTGTTTCCACCATCGGTGGCAGCAGGGGGAGTGGCAGATACGCTCCACCGTTACCATCCATGTTTACTTCCGCTCACTGAGTGTGACGTCGTCGTGTCCTCTTCTGCGCATGCGGGACACTTTTGGGTCGTATGAAGTTCACACAGCAGATCACATACAAGTCGCATTTAATTGGAAATGTGAACGAAATCTGAATTGAGCATTAAGTCCTGCAGTGTGAACGTAGCCAATCTGTTGGATTGTTCAGTCAGATAATACGCCGTTATCCTGATTGGTGATGTCATGTTGGATTCAGAATCCAAGGCTGTCGGTATGTTAAGGCTGTTTTTAATGGGTTCTGTTGGTTTTTCCTAAAAACCTGTCATATAGCAAGGTTTTCAGATTGTTAAGGGTCGGATCATCGAGTCACGACTGTATAATGATTATGGCTGGGTGAATGTGCATTGGTATGTACCTGATATTCAATATAGATACTGACATGACTAAATACATTCTTGATCGAAATCATGTTGACTCTGTGGCAGTTAATATTAACAAATGTATAGAATATCCCCGGTATAGTCAGCAATGATAAAAAACAGACGTGTACATAAAAGCACAACTTTGTCTGCAGAGAGAGACTGTGTTATTTCATGTGTGCGCCAAAATCTGTTGCCTATAAACACAACAAAATTGGAACAGAAGGAGCTGGTTTATTAAGTCAGCCAAAACAGAAAAGCCTGGCTGACTACGCTTGAGCACAAACTGGTACGTTTCTATTTCAGTCGGGAAAACCTCTGCGTTCCGGCTGCGCGAGTGACTTTGAAGCAAACCTTTTCTGGGTGTAATTTTTGATAATAGCAAAAAATATCAGAATAAATCATCATCTACTGGCACGCTGTCAGTTTGCCCTTAAGCTACATAGAAACACAAACTGTGGCTGCATGTGGTGGATCCCTGGGTAGTCCTGCTTAAAACACCGCCTAATAATTTGGCACGATCCTCACCGATGAGGTCCCTGGCCATCTCCTGATCCTCCTGTATGCGGCAGACGTCAGAAAGTTGGAGCAAGGAATCGATGTGGTAGGGGTTGAGCTGCAGCAGGGCCTGAAGAGAAAAGAGGAGGAGACAACGGTCAAACTGACTGACATGGACAAAGGCGTGGGGTTCTGTTTTTGTAAACCCAGTCGTGGTGGTGCAGATCGTGGTCACGCTTGGCCTGCTCAGTGACAAGCGCACTATTTCTGTGGCCGGTCTTGCCTGGCATTACTGCTGCTTTCCTGGAAACTAAGTGGGAGCAGAGAGAAGACGTCTTCAAACACTAGAGGTGGGCGTGTTAGAGATTCAGAAGATCTGGTGATGATCTTTTATTTAAGCTGGATTCATTTTGGATACATTCGAGGGCTTTCATGTTCTCCGTGTCCGTCACAATGAAAATCCATCAACATTTGCAGCTACGTACCACCATAATGACAATTTCATCTCATTTTTTTCTTGTGGTGTTTGATGAATGAATAATTAAAATGACCACAGATTTCATTCTGTGTCAAGAACATTCGACATGAGAAAGCTGTTGCTGAAAATTGGGTCGAGGAAAACAAACTTTTAGGTTCTTAAAGATGTATCGCATCTCAATTGAAAGGGCTCAGAACAGAAGAAGCCTCTTGGATGAGAAGCGAAACATCTTCAACATCCTAAAAGAGAAGTCCAGAAAAAGTTGCCTGCTTCATCTTTTTATTGCAAAACACATGTAATCCTGGTAATGACACACACACATTTTTGTTCTTTTAAATACAGTCGTGACTCG